GAAGCTGTCATCCGGGTGCTGCGAGGCCTGTTTGCAACGCATGGGTGTCCTGATGTCCTTGTCTCTGACAACGGACCGCAGTTCACGTCAGGCACGTTTGAGCGGTATCTTTTGGGACTGGGCATCCGCCATGCCCTAACGGCACCCTTTCATCCATCCAGCAACGGGCAAGCGGAAAGAATGGTGCGCTCGACAAAAGAGGCACTGGCGCGCCTGGACCGGGGAGACTGGCATGAGCGAGTCGCCGAATACTTGTTCGTGCAACACATCACCCCTCATGCGGCCACAGGGAGGAGTCCTGCTGAACTGCTTATGGGCCGCCGCCTCAGGTCACCGCTCGACCGGCTACACCCAGACTTTGCCGTGGCTGAACCCCCAGGCTGTGCCAACGCACCACGGTCATTTGTCCCAGGAAACCAGGTCTTTGCCCGGAACTATGTGGGGGACATCCCTTGGGTGCCAGCCACAGTAGTGGGAGTCACTGGACCTCGCTCGTACCAGGTGGCACTCGAAGACGGACGCTTGTGGCGACGGCACATAGACCAGCTTAGGCGTAGGGTTGGGGACTTGGACACTACCGAGGTGCCCCCAACTGCGCTTGCGGCTCCAGAAGAGACACGTACAGATGGCGAGGCCCCACCTACACCTCCCTCGCAAACTGCCAGCGTGGAGCCGAACCAAGCCGTTTCAGAACAGACTCAGACCACTCCATTTGCGGAGGCTGCACCCACAGCAGCGGATCCAGGGGAGTTGGTTCCAACGCCACCTAGGGTCGCACCACAGCCTCAGCGAGAACTGTGTGGCCCTCCGGACTTGGCTACCAGTCCCCGGCGGTCTGGCAGAGTTTCCAAGCGCCCAACTTATTTAAAGGACTATGTTGTTGGACAGGTATCACTGTTGGTCTAAGTATGGGAAATGTAACCGATATGCTTTTGTGCTTAATGGAACCATTACGCGTAGTGCTGTATATAAGGAAACCATTACGATTGTAACTAACGCCTTATCTCGGTGGGGAGGGGTGTTATGTAGTGTAGTTTCACCCTGGGCCAACAGGGGGATACTGTATATAGTTTTCACTCAGGTCCGCGGCAGTTATTTTAGGCGGGAACTCTGGGCTGTTGTGGTTACAATGTTGACAGCCGGCTGCCTATAAATACAGGCCGGCTGAGCTGTTTGCAGTCAGTTGTATTCCAGCTTACCATAATAAAGAGCTACTTGAAGAAATCGCTGTGCCGGCTGCTATGTCAACCCACGACTTAACACTGTTGTTTATCCCTTTTCCCCCCACTAGAATCCCTTTGGATTCAACCTACACCCAGGTTTTCCTAACAGAGGCAAAGCTTTAGATCAAGGGCTTTTATGGTTACAACAGAGGAACTTGTTATTTGGGCTCTCTCATCACAACAACCCTGTGAAGAAGATAGCAAGTGGCTCCTGGTGCGATGACCAGAGAGCCTTCATGACTGAGTGGGAATTGGGACCTGGATCTCCTCAGTCAGCACCACATTATTATGCTAGTCTTAGGAATTGGAGCGCGGGGTGCGGGGAGCTGTTGAGCAATGAATTTTCAGCAAGGAACCCCCTTAAACCTGCAAGAGGCAGTTTGTGCACCTCACCACTGACACCCTTCTTGGATGGGCTCCACGCTGCGTGAGGATAGTAGCATCAGCACTGGATTAGTGTTTGCCCTTTCTTCTTCAGATTTTAAATGGTCAGATACTTCCCGGTTACAAGTTTGCGGCTTCTCTTTTCGGCCTGGGCTCAGAGAAACCCAGTTGTTCCGGAAATGGTTCCCTCTTCTTCCTGCCAGCTGTAGAGACTTTGCTGCAGATTGAGATAAGTGGAAGTAAGAACAACTTTTGCAAGGGACTCTTTACAGTTCACGTAGAGAGTCCTGCTTGCAGGAGGCTTGCGGTTTGAGCACTTATTTGGTTCATTTCCTCTGCTGTGTTTTTGTGTTTGTTTTTAAAGTGCGTTAAAGAGCTTATCCTCATCTCTGCACATTTAAATCAGCTGGGGGGTGGGGTGGGGTCGTTACATCCAAACTTTTTCAAGAGACATGCCCTTCAGATGTGTTCCTCTTTGCACTTAAGCAGTTGTGGAGGCAGAGCATCTAGCAGATGAAGTAATTTACAAAATAAAAATGAAATTGGTTGCACGTCGTCGTCCCCCTTCCTCGCATGATGCAGGTGAAAGACAAGTGTCCTTTAAATGCCAACAGGCAGAGAGGCCTTTTACCTATATGCAACATTATAATAATTACTCCACTCATCATCATTAATTTTTTTAATTTGTTTATTATGCCATCAATGCACATGGTACTTTGGAGTTACACAGGGCCAGTCTGGTGGAGTGGTTGGGTTGAGACGAGGGAGGCGAGGAGTTCAAGTCCCTTTTCAGCCATGAACCTTATTGACTGGCACTGGATCTGTTGCTGTCTGGGCTGGCCCTGCCATTTGTTAAAATGAGTCAGGAAGATGAAAGAGTCACATCCTTACTCCGTTGGCAGCAGTGCCCCGCCAACCTAAGTCTGCCCATGTCAGTCCTCACCTGCTTACCTTCTTACATGCATCCAGTTTGAGGGGTGCTCAGCTTCCTTGTCCTTGGTCTCAGTGTTTCCCCTTGTAGAACTCAATACATAGGGGCAAAACTAGAATGAATGAATGAATGAATGAATGAATGTAAGACAGAGTTGTTCTGCCTGGCCTTTGGCTTGGAATCAACTTGATCCCCTCCCCCTCTATCCTTTTTCCTTTCTCCTTCTGTGATGGAACTCCTATTTGGGGACTTCCTTGGCTTTTTTTCTGGCCCCACGTAGGACCAGTCTGGATAGTTGGCCTTGGTGAAGATTTGACGTTTTCACCCCCCAAAAGTTTTTGATTTGAGTTTCTACTGAAATGAGGCTGCATTTTAATGTTGTATTTTAATCTTGTTTTTGAGTTGTATTTTAATCAATTGTTTTATACCGGGTGTTAGCCGCCCTGAGCCCGGTCTTGGCTGGGGAGGGTGGGGTATAAATAAAATTTATTATTATTAGTATTATTATTATTATTAATGAGGCTCTGCTTGTCATTGGTTCTGGCTCCTCCAGCTACTGTCGGGTTGGCTGCCTTCTGTTCCACCAGCCTTAAAGGTCAGGTTATTTGTTCTAAATCTTCTAACATTCAGCTTCATTGGATGCCCACGGGTTCTCATGTTGTTCTCCCTCCTTCACAACTTTTCGATGTCCACTTTCTCCATGCCATGCATAATTTTATGAACTTTTATCAAATCACCTCTTTCTTGCCTTTTCTCTAAACCAAAAAGCTTACGGGATTGCACCCAGGACAGTCATCATGCAAAACAGGTGCTTTATTACAGAGCACAACTTCTGTTGTGGATGCATGCTGCAGGAATGTTTCAGCCTGTGCTAGTACAAGATCTCAGGAGCAATTCCTAACTCTTACACACAGACAGTTGGACATAAAGACTAAGGAATCAGGACTTTCATGTGGTGGGCACCAACACTTTGGAATTCCCTTACCTTGAATATGAGGCAGGCACTATCTTTCTCTCATCTTTTCAGCATCTACTGAAGTCCTTCCTCTTCCAACTAGCCTTTTAAGTGGAGGTCATTATCCCAGTCTGAATTTGCATTGGAACTATTTTAACTGTTTTTTAAAAGTGACATTGTGCTGAAATGTTGCTACTGTTTTTCTACCTGGAATTGTTTTTGATTGTCTCATATATGAAACTGTTTTGGATTTGTTTTTACACTTGTTTCATGATTGTAGCTGTTTTACTTGGCTGATAATTTTTTCCAAAGTTTTTCTAAAGTTCAAGTTAAAGAACTCTCAAAGAAAACAGAGAATGGATTAATGACCTTTTATTGTATTGATAGTTTGCTTTCTCATTTGGTGAACTGACAAGAAATTGTACGTTAGGAACAAAATTGGATGAGATTAGGACAATGGAACTTATGCTGGTTGAGCGTGTTGTGTTGGTCAGAAAAAATTACCCATCCAAGTTCCAAATGAATTCTTGAGGTTGCAAAACTGTTACATTGGTCACATCTTTTAAAAACACAACGAAAAGAATGCATTTAAGCTACCTGTGGCATTCTTGTTGATTATTTTTGTAGAGTTAATCATGCCAGCTAACAGATGAATAATTTATTGTTAAATGGAGTTCAGATAATATTAGCTAAAGCACAAAACATTATGTAAAGAAACTTACCTTGGTCACTATGAAATTACTCCATGACTTGTCTGCCACTGTTGTGTAAATAGTATATAAACCTGTTGGCCCTTACCCAGTACAGTGGTACCTCAGGTTACAAACGCTTTAGGTTACAGATGCTTCAGGTTACAGACTCCGCTAACCCGGAAGTAGTACCTCAGGTTAAGAACTTTACCTCAGGATGAGAACAGAAACCGTGCAGCGGCGCAGCGGGAGGCCCCATTAGCTAAAGTGGTACTTCAGGTTAAGAACAGTTTCAGGTTAAGAACAGTTTCAGGTTAAGAATGGACCTCTGGAACGAATTAAGTTCTTAACCAGAGGTACCACTGTACCAAAAAGTATCCAAATTCTGCCATCGAATACAAATATGTATGTAAAACTTTTTTGTGGCATATCAGCATTGCTCACTGCCTGCTGCTTCTATGATTCAAACTGATTTTGTCACAAAGAAGAAAATGGCAAAGAAAGATTCACTTTCTTTCTTCCATTCTTTTTCTGCTGGTGCTGTTGCTACTACTACTATATCAATATGAACTGGGAATTTTACCAGGAAAAATTGAAACCTAAGGTTCAATAGATAATTGTACTATGTGTTGATGAGCATGGAAGTCACAACCTTTTGTTTGTGCTATACTTTTGACACTTTAGAGGGACAGCGGCAATTTGGCTATGTCCACAATTTGATATCCATGCTTCAGATGAACATATTTAGAAAGTGTTGCTGTTGTTTCAGGTTCCATAGACCTCCTGCTCAGACACTATTTTCTCATTTTGTTTTGCAGGCAAAACGGAACACCACTTGGATAGAGAGAGACAATGTGAACACAGCAGATAAGGTAAAAACTGCATGCTTGTGGAACACCTGTTTGGGAGAGATGTCTTAATTTGTGTTCTCACCTTACTTCACAAGCAGATACTGGGAGATGGGCTGATTATTTCTGTACAAGATTTGAGTTGAGTTAATGTAAGCTGTCTTTCTCATTCTTTCCTTTTGAGGTCATACTGTCTTTGTGCTTTTAACTCTGCATGAACCGAAGTTTGGAAGGGTGGAAATAGGTTATCTAAGCAGGGAAGATAGGACGGCATTGTTAGTCACATAACAACGAATTCACCAATATGACCCAATCCCCAAAATCAAACATGGTGGACTTTTCAGTCTCTTGCAGACTGAAGGGCTACAGCTAACATCCAGACTGAAGGGTTACATTGAACATCAGCTGCCTGTTACGAACAATTCATATTTCCATTTTCATGAATCAAGCAGGTAGCAAAAACCAGCAACTGGGGGCTGTTCTACAGTTCTGCATCTTGAAATTACAGTATTACAAATAAGGTTTTAGCCCTCAAATTTTTTTGATGTGGACCAAAACTGAGATTTTAGTGAACAATTTATTTTGGGTTTTATTATTTGTACAATCACTTTCATGCACTTAAAAAAAAAACAAGAGAGAGAAAGTGGATCTCCAAATTATATCCACTACAGTATTACGGGCTAATGACTTGATAAGGTGTGTATATGTAATATGTTACAGGTGCCACATAAAACTTGTTCCGCATTGTAAGATATTGATATTTTATTGTGGGAGCACCTACGCTCTGGAATTTCATGCCTAATGACATCAGGCAGGTGGGTGCCTGCTAAAAATATTTTTCATTTAGGAAAGCCTATCCAGGCAAGTTGAATGTTGAGGTGTGTAAAAACTGGTTTTAGCTGATTGCTGATTTTGACTATTATTACAATGTTTTAAAAAGTTGGGTTTTTTTACTCTTTTTATTGACAATTTTCATTGCTTTACTCTTTTGTAAACTACCCTGAGTGTTTTTTTAAGAATCAAGTGGCATATAATTTTTGTGAAATGAAGAAATATGGATAAACACACACATATATAGATACACATACAGTGGTACCCCGCAAGACGAACGCCTCGCAAGACGGAAAACCCGCTAGACGAAAGGGTTTTCCGTTTTGGAGGCGCTTCGCAAAACGAATTTCCCTATGGGCTTGCTTCGCAAGACGAAAGCCCATAGGGAAATCTCCGGGACAGCGGGGAAGCGCAGCGCGTCTTCCCCACTGTCCTCGGACCTCCTCCCGCCGCCCGGCATCGGAACGAAGCTCCGAAGCCGGGCGGCGGGGCGGGAACGCCTCCTCCCGCCACCCGGCATCGGAACGAAGCTCCGATGCCGGGCGGCGGGGCGGGGACACCTTCTCCCGCCGCCCGGCTTCGGATGGCTTTCCTGAAGACTTGGGGTGGGAGGAGGGTTTTCCTTCCCACCGCCAACATTCAGAATCCTGTTCTGAATGTTAGCGGTGGGGAGGAAAAACCCTCCTCCCACGCAAGCCCCGGGAACAGAGGAAAAGCGCTGCGCGCCTTCCCCTCTGTTCCCGTACCTGTGCTGAAGGCTTGCGGTGGGGAGAAAAGCCCTTCTCCGCACCGCCAGCCTGGCAAGCGGTTTCCCTAGGAACGCATTAATTGATTTTCAATGCATTCCTATCCCAACCGTGCTTCGCAAGACGAAAAACTCGCAAGAAGAAAAAACTTGCGGAACGAATTAATTTCGTCTTGCGAGGCACCACTGTATACAGAGAATGAGAAAAATAACCTGACCTTTGCCTGCCTAGAATGTAGCCTACTGATAAAGGTAGGATTCCTATCCATTTTCCCACCTACTTCTGCCTCTGGCCCCACCTGCCATCACCATGTGGCCCTCCAGAAGTCTGTTCATGAAAGAATGTGGTCCTCGTGCTGAAAAAAAGGCTCCCCACGCCCCCTGCTACAAGAATTAAGGGGAGAGGCTTCCATTTGAACAGGAAAAAGTGGAACTGGAACATGAAAGAAGCTTGAAGGTGTTTAAAGTGAACTAACCACAAGTGTTTTGGTTTGAGGGAGGGCCGGAAGTGCTGTTTTTAACCTGCCTTGCTTCTTAAGGCGGCCCTACCTCCCTGCTTCCGCTTGGCTTGGCTTTGGGTACATGTATCAGCGGCTGGTCCCCTGTGAGACCCAGAGTGCGCCCCAGCTGATGGTCTGCCTGCAGCCACCAGCCATGCTCCCTTAGGGGACCTTGGGGACCTTGTCATGAGAGATGTGCCGCTCTCGCCAGAGTGGGACGATGAGTGTGGCTAAGGAACCCAGGCTCCCTCGCATCCTTGCCTTCCTCACGCTATGGATCAACGGGAAGCGCCGCCCCGAGCCTTGCAGCCTCCCGCTGCCTCCCGCAAGCAACCTCAGCAACCCGGTCAGTACTTTGGCTTGGCCTGGCGGACAGTCTGTTCTAGCTGTGCTTATTTGCTTTTGTAAGCCGTAGCAGTGCGGCAGCTTCATGGATGGTGGCTTTTTCTTCTCCTTTGGCTGTACTCTCATCATCTGGCTGGTCCAAATGCCAGCTTGTTGGGAAAAAGCAGGTCTGGGTGTGGTCAGTGCCAGGAATGGGAACTGTACATATGAGTCCTGTTGAAGAAAGGAGGGATGCAGGAAGCTGCCGTCTACTGAGTCAGACCACTGGTCCCTCTAGCTCAGTATTGTCCACACTGACTGGCAGTGACTCTACGGCAGGCTTCCTCAACCTTGGGCCTCCAGATGTTTTGAGACTACAGTTCCCATCATTCCTGGCCACTGGTCCTGCTAGCTAGGGATCATGGGAATTGTAGGCCAAAAAATGCTCTACGGCATTTCAGACAGGGATCCCTCCCAACCTTATCCAGAGATGCCACGGATTGAACCTGGGATTTTGCTCATTGCAAAGCAGATGCTATCTACCGCTACAAATGGAAATTTCGGTTCTCTAATTTGGTTCTCTCGGTTTCTTATTTTTTCCTGTCATAAATTCAGCACTTTACATTTCTGCAGCAATTTGTTAGTTGTTGTTGTTTTTAAAAGTTTGTTCATCTTTAAAGATTCATCATCGTGTCTGTGCAACTTTCTCCTAACAAACACATATTATATGAAGTTTTGACTAATGTACACATTTTTGCAAGCAATTTCCCCAGATATACAGCATTTGTTAAGACTTTGGTCGTTTGGAGAGCTGCATTGCAAAATTTGGAAAAATGTGGATTTCGAAGGATAGCTGCATTTCAGTTCTCGTATTGTTTTGGAAAGTGCAGATGCAATAGATTCGCCTTTGAATACAAACTGAGTCAAATGTCTCCCCATCTACCCTGAGCTGCGCAAATATAAATAATGAACAAGCCGAGGTGGAGAGCTTGTGGCCCTCCTGATGTCCCTGGACTACAGTTCCCATCATCTGCGGCTATGCTGGCTGGGGCTGTGGGAGTCTATTCTGGGTAGGACTACACTGAATACCTTTACTTTTTTTTATACTGTGTACCACCCACAATTTTTCCTTTTTGTAAGCGAAACATAGCAAGCCGCTTAAAGTGACTCAGATCTATGTTCCATCTAGCTCAATATTGCCCACACTGACTGGCAGTGGCTTTTCAGGGGTTTCAGGACAGGGGTCATTCCCAGCTCTACCTGGAGTAGCCAGAGATTGAACCTAAGACCTTCTGCTTGCGGAACGTGTGCTCTCTTCCCATGAGCTTATGGCCCTTCCCCTTAAAATAAAGTTAAGATTCTAGTCCTCATACTTCTGCATAAAGAACTGCATTAAATAGAAACATAGCCCTCTACTGAGTTAGACCATTGATCCATCTAGCTCAGTATAGACTACACTGCCAGAATCTCCCCAGAGTTTTAGACGGGAGTGTTTCCCAGCTGTGCCTTGAGAAGCTGAGGGTTTAACCTGGGGTCTTTTAAATGCAATGCATGTGCTCTACCACTGAGCATGGGCCAAGCAAATGCCATAGTTACAGCCCTCTGTAAATGTGACATCTGAGTTTGCTTGCTCAGTCTTCTTGTTTCTGATACAAAGTCTGTCTCTGGTTCGATATTTCCATCTCAAGACCGTGCCAGTTTCAAGCATTGGCATTTCCTTAGTCTCCCCCTGAAGTGAAGAGGAAAGTTGTTGGGGGCGGGCAAGGCTGCCAAGAGGCAGACAGACTCCTTGGGTTTTTTTTCTTCCCCAGAACTGCTCATGTAGCTAAGCAGATGGCTTTGGGGGTGGGGGTCTGCTTCCTCCATGTGCCAGCCACACTGACTCTGTTTTGCAACAAACATGCGTGTTTGCTGTAGGGTGGTGGGTAATTCTGGTGGCGCAAACATTCACACTCGTTGCCACCCGCCAAAAAGCGACGGGAGTAGATGGCAAAATGTACTGCAGTGCTTAATATCGTGGGAGGGGAAGGGAGGGAGAGTGCATATGTTAATTGTGGGGAAACAGCAAATGTTTGCAAGCCACCAAGCTGCTGACTTGAAAGCTTTCCTGCAGACAGAAGCGTGACACTGAGGCAAAAGTCAGAGTCTGGTGGCTTCTTTAGATCAGAGACAGGGGAACTTCGGGCCCCAGGGACCAAATATGGCCTTTCAAGCCTCTATCTGGGCCTCTGGTCTCTCCCCAGGCCACAACCTCTACATAGCCATGCCCCTGACAGGCCATGTTGTGCATCCTCCTTGAGTATTTTTGCCCAGCTGGATTGCATCCTTGGACTCCGACAATGCCTCTTCCTTGCCTGAATGGAGGTTTTCACACCTGTACACATGCATCCCTGTTCCTTCTTCCCCTTCCCTTCAATCTGACTTCTCCCAGCAGTTTCTCCAAAGCTGCTGTCTTTTGGCAGCTGCTAGCGGGTGGCGCTGGGGGTAAAAGCCTCAGTGCCTAGGGCTTGCCGATCGAAAGGTCGGCGGTTCGAATCCCCGCGGCGGGGTGCGCTCCCGTTGTTCGATCCCAGCGCCTGCCAACCTAGCAGTTCGAAAGCACCCCCGGGTGCAAGTAGATAAATAGTGACCGCTTACTAGCGGGAAGGTAAACGGCGTTTCCGTGTGCGGCTCTGGCTCGCCAGAGCAGCGATGTCACGCTGGCCACGTGACCCGGAAGTGTCTCCGGACAGCGCTGGCCCTGGCCTCTTGAGTGAGATGGGCGCACAACCCTAGAGTCTGGCAAGACTGGCCCGTACGGGCAGGGGTACCTTTACCTTTACCTTTATAGGGTCCAGTGCCCTGGCAAGGTCCCTCCCAACCTGGAGCCATCCCTAGGTATCTCACAAGATAGCTGTGCATGCAACTGCTGCTGACCCTTCTCTCTCCACCCACACCATCCTCAGTGATCTGCTTAACTGATGCCAAATGTTTGGACAGCTTTACTTGGCCTCAACAGTAAAGCTGTCCAAACATTGCCCCTCCCGAACTTGTGCCCAGATCTGCTTCCTGGAGCCAAGGCCCTCTGCTCCTGTTCACTGTAAACTGTGGCCATGCTTGGGGTGGGGCAGTGCCCACGTAATGTATGAGTTGACAGATCCCGCAGTGTCTTGACATTGTTTATGGAATGCTGGATTTCTCAGGGCTGTGGGTGACTCAGACTCGTGTGCTGTCGAATCTCACTCTGCAGCTACCTGCATTTGCGTAAAGGATGTGCAGCTGGTCTCCTCAACTACAGGAAGTGAGATAAATACTAAGCACCGCAGCCCTCCAGATGTTGTTGGACTCCAACTCTCATCAGCCCTGACAATTGGCCATGCTGAGAGGGGCTCATGGAAGTTGGAGTCCAACCGCACTTGGCAGCTAAATAGAAGCTCCTTTCAAAGATCGCCACTCTCCATTGTGTTGCTGTTCACCAAAGGAATGCATGTTGCAGCTGCCAGCACCTTGTCCACCTGAATGTCTTCTACATATTATAAATATAATGTGGCCTTGGCATGTCCCTTGATTATAATAGGAAAATCCCTATACAAACACTGTAAGAGTTCATAGCACTTCATACACTTGCACTGCTTGCTCAGTGCTGGCAATTCAGTACAAATGCACAAAGATGGGTTTTGTGCACAACTACCAACATCTCGTTGGCTTGAGCTTGCCTGATGGGCTCAAGCATATTTTTGTGCTTGGAATCAATGGGGCAGTTAAGTAATTTTAGACTCTGAACTCAATGGTTTTACTGGGAAGGGAGAGCAGGTGCTTTTAAAGATGGTTAATGTGTATTACTTGATTTAACTTCAACCAGCCCTGCTGTAAGCATTCTGCTAAATCCGGGCAGGTTTCTTGGCCCAAAGTCCTGCCTTGACGGTACCTTTGCTTGGAATCAAGCAAGCAGTTAACAGACAGACTGGCCACAGGGGCAAGGATTCTGACCCTTGGCTCTCATGCTATTCAGTGGCAGGAAAACGTAAAGAGATTCTGACATTGGTGAGAGAATTAGGCTGTTTTCTGCAAGCTCAAGAGCATTGTATAATATCTGATTGTCTTATTGTTCTTTTTAAAGCAAGAAGTCTTCTGGTCTGTGGGACCAGCTAACCTTTTTTCCCTTTTTTCTTTTTCCTCTTTAATTTTAGAATGAAGGCTCTGTCCAAGAATATACCATCACATACCTTGTGAAAGAGGGGTCTGAGAAGGCCGATCCATCACAGTTTGAGCTTCTTAAAGTCCTGGGACAGGGTTCGTTTGGCAAAGTGAGTTCACCTTTTTGGCGTCTGTTAGCTGAGCTGATGAAGAGTAAAATGTGTGTCTCGTACTCTCAAGAGAACTACAACCCAGTGCATGAAAAGGATGTGTGCTCTACAGTATTGTGCAAACTTTTTTTGATACTCTGGAAGTAGTCTGGATGCAGCCTTTGTCCTTTTTGCAGGGAATCTAGAGTGGAGGCAGACACAAGGGCACATTTATGCACACATCCTAGCTTTTTTATTTGTTGGAAGCTCTGGCCAAGGCTTCTACTTTCCAGTTGGTCAGTAGGCACTGCCTACTCATCTGTAGATCTTTTGCCTCTATGTGGACTAGAAGCTTAGGATTTCTGGCTTCATCTGAGACAAGATCCTGTAATTGCAGAGTCTAGTAGTGGAACAAATATGCCTGGGAGTAACAGGGGCCCAGATTAGACCTGCATGTTACATTTGCCAACACAAAAATGACTGTTGTGGTGAGCCCATCATTTAATGCTTTATTATGGCCTTCTCTAACCTGGTATACCCCAGATGCTGTTGGACTCCAACTCCCACCAGGCCCATACAGTGTGACCAATTGTCAAGGGTGGTTAGTGTTGTAAGAGGGCATCTGGTTGGGAAAGGCTGCTCTACAAAGTCTTCAGCAGTATGTGTGTTTCCAGAAGTAAGCTGCATTCAGTTCAGTGGACTTATTCCCGGGTAATATATCTAGTAACCTTCTGGCATTTTCGCTGGCCAGGTTTAATTCAAATCCATCAAACCTCCTTTGGGGAAGGTTCTCAGGCAGGGTGGAAGGAGAAAGAACTTGCCCATGTGAAGACCACCTGGTGGAAACCCTTACCCATATGGTTCTTAATTGTAAACTGTATGCTGATCTCCACCAGCAATTTCTAGATCAACTCTGTATCCCCAAATGGAAACCAGAGTTGGAGGTCATACATTTTCTATTACTGGGGAATGATCAGGAGCTTACCAAGTTATTGGCTTAATAGCTCTGTTTGGTTTTTTGTCATCGAAATACACTGCAGACGTCTGATCTCCCTGGAGACCTAGAGATGTGATGATAGACTGCTCTGCCTCCTTTCTTTTAGCAAATGTTTTGTGCCACTGGGGAAGTGGTAATTCTTGTATTGATTTGTTTTGGATAATAATAATAATAATAATAATAATAATAATAATAATAATAATAATAATAATAATAATAATAATTTATTATTTGTACCCCGCCCATCTGGCTGGGTTTCCCCAGCCACTCTGGGCGGCTTCCAACAAAGATTGGCATTGTATGTGATGCCAATAAAAGGTTTGATGATGATGATGATAGTAACCTTCTTTGAACTAGTGCCTTCCAGATGTAGAACTCCAGCTCCCATTATCCCTTGTCATTGGCCATGCTAGCTGGAGCTGATTGGAGTTGTAGTCCAAAACACCTAAAGAGCACCAGGTTGGGAATGGCTGTTGTATAGGATTATAGCCCTTGGCCCATGTAGCTTCATTTATTTCAATGGTGGCTGCCAGTGGTGGCAGAAATACTCAACATTTCACACCTCTTCTTTTAAAGTAGTAATACCTCTGTTCATGTACACAGTACCTTGCCACTCAGCTACTACACAGACACACTTAGAAGCAGTGCTTCCTTTCAGAGCAGGCAGCTGGGTTCCCAGTCAGGCCTGAGTCCATTTTGTTCTTATAAATGGAGTACTTAACCTTCCATTGCAGCATTCATGTTGTTGTTGTTTAGTCGTTTAGTCGTGTCCAACTCTTCGTGACCAGAGCACGCCAGAGCATTCATATAACACAGTCCAAAAGCATGGAGCAAACACAGAGATGGCATTGCTTCAAGCTGCTCATCCACACCCAAATTCAGTGGCAAGCTGACACATTCTGCACAGGCTGCAGCTTCCAGACTCTGTTGATCAGCTGTTTGTCAGGGCTTGTACATAGCTCCATGCACAAGTGCCCTATCACCTGCATTGCTCTGTGTGCAGTGTTTGCGAGCGCCGAACAATCAGCTGTTGTTCAGCGTGGGTAAAAACAGGTCATCTGACATCACTGTGATGTCAAGTGACTGACAGGTTGGGGACTCTGCCCCACCTGTCAAATGTGTCTCATTGGTGATGGAGGAGGAGGTAAGGACCCAGCCCAGTTCTCCACTCCTGCGTAAAGGCCTTCGAATCTGAGGAAAGGCTTGTCACACTCAACTTATCATGTCTCTGGGCATAGACAGGTAGAAACAATTTGGGGTTTCGCGGAAAGGGTCAGCATGGCAAAATGCAGAGGACAGACCTGTTGGGTTCTGTTTTTTTGTTTTTAAGATGAGAGCAGCCCTATCCAGTGTTGGAATTGGCAGTTGCAGTCAGCTTAATTTATTGGCTTGAAGACACTAGGGAACAGTTACAAGTTGCCTTCTCCCCACCTCCGAACTTCAAGGTGCTCCTTTCACTGAATTTTTACTAAGTGTGACTCTCTCTCTCTATTTCTTTCTGTCCTGGCCTTTCTCTGTGCAGGTTTTCCTCGTAAGAAAAGTCACCCCACCGGACAATGGCCACCTTTACGCCATGAAGGTCCTAAAGAAAGCCACCCTGAAAGGTAATGAGCCCCACTTTGTGCTAGGAACCTGAATGAACCAGGACGTTGTGGTGCAGGGGATACATTTCAGGCACACGTGGCCATCCTGACTCGGCCCCAGACACACTGACCAGATGTTTGGAAGCTGTGGCTGGATGGTTACGTGGGAGCCGGTTGAAGCTAAATCCTTCGAAGACAGAGGTCCTGTGGCTGGGACGGGGCGATATGGGATTGGGGGGGCAACTCCCATCTCTTGCAGGGGCGCAATTAGTGCCAGCACCGTCCGTTAAGAGTTTGGGTGTAATCTTCGACACCTCCCTTTCCATGGAGGCGCAGATTGCAGCTATAACAAAGGCGGCATTTTTCCATCTCCGCCAAGCTAAGCAGTTGGCTCCTTACCTCTCTCGCCCTGACCTAGCCACTGTGATCCACGCGACGGTCACCTCCAGACTGGATTATTGTAACTCGCTCTACGTGGGGCTGCCCTTGAGACTGACCCAGAAACTCCAGCGGTTGCAGAATGCTGCAGCGAGACTCCTTACGAGGTCTTTGCTGCGAGATCACATTCACCCGGTGCTATACCAGCTGCACTGGCTCCCGGTGGAGTACAGGATCAGGTTTAAGGTGCTGGTTTTAACCTTTAAAGCCCTATACGGCTTAGGACCCTCGTACCTACGGGACCGCCTCTCCTGGTATGCCCCACAGAGAAACTTACGGTCTTCAAATAAAAACTTGAAGGTCCCAGGCCACAGAGAAGTTAGGCTGGCCTCAACGAGAGCCAGGGCCTTTTCGGCTGTGGCTCCGATCTGGTGGAACACTCTGTCACAAGAGACCAGGGCCCTGCGGGACTTGACATCTTTCCGCAGGGCCTGCAAGACAGAGCTGTTCCACCAGGCCTTTGGCCAGGGCACAGCCTGACTCCCTCCTTCAGCAATCTTCGCGGAGCTCTGGCCCAATGGCTGCCAGTGGCTTGAATTAATTAATTTTAGAATGAATGATTTTAGAGTGTTGTTTATGCTGTACTTTTGTACTGTTTTATTGTTGTTAGCCGCCCTGAGCCCGGCTAAGGCTGGGGAGGGCGGGATATAAATAAAATTTATTATTATTATTATTATTATTATTATTATTATTATTATCCTTGGCCATCATTATCCTCGTGCTCCCTTGCCCCTGCTAAATGTCAGGTTGATGTGGACCTAGACTTGCTTTGGGTTGAGACTCAGTCTTCAGAGTTGATGCTGGGTGTTTTTCCCCCAGTTGTGATATGTCTGAATTGAGCTTTCTGTGTTGACAGTGCGTGATCGTGTAAGAACAAAAATGGAAAGAGACATTTTAGTAGAAGTCAACCACCCATTCATCGTGAAACTCCACTATGGTGAGTGCAAAACTTCACCTTTCTTCTGGCATTCTCTGTCTCTTTCCATCTCCCTCCCTTCCCACTCCTTGAAATTCTTCCACTTTCTGGACCAAATCTCTGTTATCCCCACCTATTAAACAATTTGTTAGTTGGCGCTGATTCTATCTAATTCCCCTTAACTTGGGACCAGAAGCCCACTTCAATCCCCTGTTTGAAACCTGGTTAAATGGTTTGTGTGGGGCACTTTGTTTCTCGGGGAGGGCCAGAGGAACAGCTGCCTTTCCCAACCTAGTGCCCTCTAGATGTTTTGGACTACAACTCCCATCAGCCCCAGTCAACATGGAACTGTCCTTGTGCGTGCCTAAGGCCCCTTTAACCACTTGAGACATTGCTCAGGCTCATAGCTGTCGACCTTTCCTTTTTTTGTGGGAAATTCCCTTATTCCAGCGCCGTTTCCCGCTGCTTCCCGCTGCTATCCCAGATTGATAGATATCCCGTAGACTGTCCCCAGGATAGGTGAGGCTGCTGATCCCTTATTTTCGAGGCTGCTGATCCCTTATTTTCAAATCTGAAAGTTGACAGCTATGCTCAGGCTTGGCTGGCTAGGTTCTCCTCCAACCGCTGGCAAGCACTGGGGATGCTGATTGTTCTGTATCTCACATCTCAGCTTTCCAAACGGAAGGGAAGCTGTACCTCATCCTCGACTTCCTCAGAGGAGGAGACCTCTTCATGCGCCTTTCCAAAGAGGTGAGTACATGCATGCACCATGTGGCTCATGGGCAGTTTGGCTGTATCTGATTAGATGCTGGGGAACTAAAAAAGAACTGTGCAATGCAGGTATTGTGCAGCAGTGTGGGGATCCATTGCTTACCTTCTAGATTAGAGTGTTGGACTGGGACTGGGGAGATCCTAGCTCTAAGTCCTGCTGAGCCATGAAGCACAGTGGGTGGCCAATAACTGTCTCTCAGCCTAACCTACCTCAGAGAGTAGTTGTGAGACTAAACTAGGGGTAACCATGAAAGCAATTTTGAGCTCCTTGGAATGGAGATGGCTGTTTTTTGAAGTAATGAGCAAACACCAGCCCTCTTTAGAACGGCACATACATTCTGCCACATGCTGCAGGGAAGTATGCTGGCATCTGCAGGAGGGGAGACCACAAAGATACCCATCTCCGCAGATGTTTGCACTGTACTTGTGGACAACAAGGGAGGGGGCAATGGCAGTGGTGGGGTGTCTCAGTATGCGGCCCTGTCCCTGCTCCCATGTACAGGAGCATTAATGCCAAAATACGGCTTTCAATAGGACAGTGTGCAAGTGGTTATGAGAGTCTCCACTGCTGTCATTGATGTATGTTGCCCATTTATGCAGTGGGGATAATGGTGATCCCAGTAAGTCTGCCAGATCTTCTCTTGGAACTGTAAAATGCTGAAGAAATATAATTGAGCCCATGTACAGTGGTACCTCGGGTTAAGTATTTAATTCGTTCTGGAGGTCCGTTCTTAACCTGAAACTGTTCTTAACCTCAAGCACCACTTTAGCTAATGGGGCCTCCTGCTGCTGCCGCACCGCCGGAGCACAATTTCTGTTCTCATCCTGAAGCAAAGTTCTTAACCCAAGGCACTATTTCTGGGTTAGTGGAGTCTGTAACCTGAAGCGTATGTAACCCGAGGTACCACTGTATATCCCACAGCTTGAGAACCTTATCACACAAGCATGCAGACTCTCTTCTGCAGCAACCCTCATTTTGCCTTTCATCTTTGAACAAAAAACAACTGCAAGTTTCTAACCCTCAAGATGGCAAAAGATGAAAAATACATTTTGCTGCCTCAAGGCAGCAGTCAGAGATCCAGAACTGCTTGCAGACTGCATTTGGTTGAACTTTTCAGATAGCCTGCTACTTTATTTCTATCTCTAAAAATAGTTTTGCCGTAAGCAAATGCTTGCCATGCCTATCCAGTCCTGCCAGTCCTATGAAAACATGTGGGCAGTGCTGGTGAAATCTCCCCAAGGCCTTGCAGGGGATGTTGCAGACTCTAAAATCTTAGAGTGTCAGGTTTGGGGCTTAAGTGTTGTTCACCTAAGCCACGTCAATGCCTTATGTTTAAAGCAGTCTTATACCACTCTGACAATCATTACTTCCTCCTATGAATCCTGGGAACTGTAGCTTGTTACTGGTTCTGTGAGGGGTCTCATAACAACTTTCAGCACCCTTAGCAAATTACAGTTCCCAAGATTCTTTGGAGGAAGGAAGTAATGACAGTTTAAAGTGGCATAGAGGTTCTTTAAATGTAGGGGGTGGGCAGGCAGAGATGCAGCAGACTGGCCGCATGATCCATGTGGGAGACTTGATCACATCGCAGATCCCTGCAGAAAGCAGGCCTGAAGTCACTCCCCATCAGCTGATAGGCATTGATTTCATGGCTGCTGATCAGCAGTGATCAATTTAGATTCCAAACTCACAAAGTGGAGAGACTATAGAGGGAAGAGTAAGGAGAAGGTACAGCAATTCTGTTTCCAGACGACTTAGGCTGCCTCAAAATATGCAGACTGTCACGTTTTTAAGACCTGTAGGAGGAAGATTGCGAGACTGTGTGTCAGCAATGGGAGGCAATGCAGTAGGGGGAAGGAGAGAGCAGTGGATTTGACAATATTGTTCCAGCTTAATTTGTTCCCTGGTTTCCAACTGTCTTCAGAGCTTCTACGACAGTGGGTCCATTTGCCATTTCCCCTGCACTAAAGGGGGAGGGGCTTGGAATTCCATAAGCCAGTTTCTGGGAGAGGAAGGATGCTGTAAGTTTTGGCATTTGAAGAAGCAGGCTTTTGGAAGAAGACAAGAAGCCTCGCCCCCCACCCCTTTTTTCTTCTTTGTCAAGCAGAGCAGAAAAGGATTGCAAAACAGTAACACATTATCTCCTGTTACACCATAGCTGCTTGAGCAAAGCGATTGGTTACCTTGGAGTAGGAGGGGGAAAGGCTGGCAGGAAGTGTGGGGAAGAAGAGGCCCCGATGGGGTAACAGGAAACTGCTCTGAGAACAAGGAAGCATGTGACACCAGGAGGACAACAACTAGATGATCTTCAAAGAAAGATTCCAAATCTGTTTTCCCCCCTCCCCACCCACTGCTGCTTAGCAACTTCTAAATGTGCTTTTAAAATTGACGCATTTACTAGAATTGCTTGTAGAATTGAAGCAATGAAGTATATTTTTAATATGGTGGGAAAGGAATGGGGAAGGATCTAAGAGTGACTCCTGGGGCTTAAGAAAAAGCTGTGCAGGAATGGAACCCAGATTCTGCTGCAAGAATAAATTATCTCTGTCTATCCAGATTCAAAGATGCTGCTTCAAAGAGCTTAATAGCCCCATCCCTCCCAAAAAAATAAGTTGGGATAGTTTAGCACAATTACTTCTTTGAAACCTGGCCTGCCTTCTCTTGAGATTTACCGACATCTATGCATATTTTTTTAGCCATTTCTCTACATGAGTAGTGAGGTCTAGAAACTTGCAATTCTTTTTCTTTTTTAAAAAGAAAAAGAATATTATTATTGATATTTATTAGTCACTTTTTCAGAAAAGGAAACTCAGAGCTGCATTGAACATTAAGAATGAGGATAAACAACCTAAAACACACAAGTAATATATGTAAGAAACTGATCTAACACATTCCCACTATTTTTACCTGGCATCTACAGTTAGTGATGGTGCCAGACATGCCTCCCTGGGGAAAGCATTCCATACATGGGGAGCCACCACTAAGAAGGCCCGTTCTCATGTCACCCCTCCACCCGTCCCTCAGATGGCACAAGGCAAAGGGCCTCAGATGAAGACTGCGGAGTCTAGGTTGCTTCATGTGGAGAGTGGTGACCCTTGAGGTATTGGGGTCATGAGCCTCGTAAGGCTTTATAAGTTACAGAATTTGACATGGAATATCAATAGTACTTGCTTGCCTAACAGTCTTAACAGACACATGAGGCATACTCAGACCTTTGCTGCTGTGTTAGTTCTGCATTTCCTGACCTCAGCTGACTTCTCCGTTCCTCCCAGGTAATGTTCACAGAGGAAGACGTGAAATTCTACCTTGCAGAGCTGGCACTTGGCCTCGGCCACTTGCACCGTTTGGGAATCGTATACCGGGACCTTAAACCAGAGAAGTATGCCCCTACCCCTTCCGGGCTCTCAGGCAGGCCCTGATCCAGGCCGGTGTTTACATGCACTTCCCCTTTTCCTGAATGTACAGCTTGGCAGGCACTTCACCAGAAACCCTGCAACTCTGACCTGACTCGCCACCAACTCTAGTCCAGGGGGTGATGGGTGGACTCTGAGAGCTATTCAGAAACCTTAGCGACTGGTGTGGAGACACCTGCATCCTGCTTTTCCTCTTCAAATGAGACCCCAAATTCTTGGTTTGGGCAGAGATGATGCCCACCACACCAGGCGTCAGGGGCTGCCAACTGTTCCTAAGCAGACCATCATTCTGCCAAGGGCACTTTGAGGGTGGGGGTGGGGAGGACAGGATGAAATGCCATGTACTGCATCATTTTTGGCCTTCCCTCTGTCACAACTTGCCCCAGTGCTCTGTCTTCTGTGGAGCCAAGAAGGCAGCTGGGACTAATTCCAGGGCGAGAGAGCCAAGCTTGTTTCTAGCTTGGCTTGTGAACATAAAATGGTGCTGAGTTGTAGAAGAACATAAGAGCATTAACCAGCCAGCACCTAGCTAATGGGTCATGTGGGGGATGGAATGCAGTTGAATTCTGTTTTGCAAACTGTTCTTCAATGAGGCTTGTATCCAGTGTTGCACTAAGTAACCATCCTGCCAGTGCAAGTATTACCCCCCTTCCCCCTGCATCCCCCCTAAATCTGCTCTGGATTTGGGGAGAGCCCAGGAGGGGTGGGGGGAGTCCCACTGCACAAGCAGAAATCCTTGCACTGACAGGATGGTTACGTAGGCTTGTAGCTAATGTAGTATTTTGTGTTCTGATTTTATTCTATTTGTTTCTTCACCTTTTGTTCTTTCCCTCTTTTCCTCGCAGTATCCTTCTGGATGACGAAGGCCATATCAAACTCACAGGTACAGCCTGCCCTTAAAAGTTGATTGATTCCTGAATGTGATGATAAACTGCTTTTCTCTGTCTTGTCAAGCAAGCAGCTCATTTATTTTACTCTTTGCTCTCTCTATCTCTCTGTCCCCCAAACCCCCTTACTGCCCCCAACTTCTCACCCCTTTTGCAGACTTTGGTCTGAGCAAGGAAGCCATTGACCATGAGAAGAAAGCCTACTCTTTCTGTGGGACAGTGGAGTACATGGCGCCAGAAGTGGTGAATCGCCAAGGCCACACCCAGAGCGCTGACTGGTGGTCGTATGGGATTTTAATGGTACAGTGTTTTCTTTCTTTCTTTCTTTCTTTCTTTCTTTCTTTCTTTCTTTCTTTCTTCCTTCCTTCCTTCCTTCCGCACAGAAGCTGTCATGGCAGCTAACACTACCTTCCCGAACCTGGTGCCTTTGAGATGTTTTGGACTGCAACTCCCATTGAGACCCAGCCAGTACGGCCAATGGCCAAGGATGATGGGAGTTGTAGTCCCAACAACATCGGAAGGGACGCAAGCTAGGAAAGGCAGCTCTTAAGTGCTTAGTGAACAAGGCATAGCAGGCCTCTGAAGGTTCTTTTGACATCTGCTTGCTTGCTAAGTTGAAAAAGGCCACATACCACTTGGACAGAATTCTCATGACAGGTATTGCAAGGATGCAGTGGTGACAGGAAAGTGTTGCTGATTTACTGCTATCACTACCACTTCATAATGCCCATTGGGACAGGTACAGCAGGAATGTTACAGGCATGTGAAATTAAATAGACCAGTCCCTCCCTAGTCTTTATTGAAACCTTCAGCAACCTACAGATGTTTAGGACTATGACCCCTATCAGTCTCAGCCAGCACATAGTTTTGGTCTGAAACATTTGGAGGGCCCCACTTGAGGAAGCTTGCTGTATAGAATGACCCTGGCCTATGTATTAATTTTATGTTGCAGTTTTGCCACTGTTTGGGGGTTGTTTTTTGATAATATTATTTTATATTAGCTACCTTGAAAGAGCTTTGCTCTTTAAAGCAGCCTTATAAACACATATATAAATAAATAGTCAGGAGAGGAATGTTCCACATCCAGATTGCCAGCCTTCTTGATGAGAACCTCAGATCCACTAGCCAGATGTATTGGGCCCATGAAAAGGCGTTGTGGATGCCCCCAAGAAGATAGCCTTAGCATCGACCTTGTTGTCCAGTAGGACAATCATCCTAAGGACCCTCAATACCACACCCAAGATCTCTTCCATCAGCTCAGGAATGGAGGCTGTAGGGAAGCCTTTTGAAACTCAGTGTTTGGCTGTGTGGAAGCTGCTAGTGAGGGTGGGAGTTAGCTGAAGAAGTGCTGCCATCTTGTGGCAATTAAATGTAAAAACTGGCCTTGCTAAGGTTTTTGGGTTTGTTTTTTTTAAAAAGGGTGAAAACAGCACAAGGGACCTTGTGGAACAGGTTTCTTTGGCCTAAGCCAGCGGTTCTCAACCTGTGGGTCCCCAGATGTTGTTGGACTACAACTCCCATCATCCCTGAGCTCTGGCCTTGCTAGCTAGGGGTGATGGGAGTTGTAGTTCAACAACATCTGGGGACCCACAGGTTGAGAAAGGCTGGTCTAAGCTGTCATGGAGGTCACTTTATCAAATGCATCCTTTGTTCATCTTCAGTTGGCAGAGTGAAAGAGCAGCCGTGGGTGGTGCTGCTACCATTGTCCAGGAAGGTGAGAGGTGGCTGCCACCACTTACATCTCTTCCTGGCCAGCCAGCACCAGTAGAATCAGCCAATTTATTGAACACTGAATCCCTCTCCTCAAGGAGGAATTATTTTTTGAACTGAGCATACTGCTTGCATCAACACTGTGAGGTTGGTTGTGCTGAGAGATGGCAACATGCCCAAGCTCACCCATGGACATAGCTGGCAACGTTTCCCTTTTTTAAAGGGAAATTCCCTTATTCCAAATAGGATTCCTCACAAGAAAAGGAAAAATTTGACAGCTATGCCCAGGGAGGCCCATGACTGAGCAAAGATTTAAACCTACTCCAACACTGGTCCTACTCGGACCCTGCAGTCCAGGGATAGCCAACATGGGACCTTTCAGCTGTTGCTGGGCTACAACTTCCACCAGCTCCAGCCAGCATGGCCCATGAAAAAGGATGATGGGATATGTAACATTAAGCACCACTGAAGGTTGTCCCCAGGGCCCCCTGGTTCATGAGTGTGATACTTTTGCTTGCTCTCCTTTGCAGTTTGAGATGCTGACGGGGGCCCTGCCATTCCAGGGGAAGGACCGGAAGGAGACAATGACTCTCATTCTCAAGTAAGACCTCACAGCTGCAGAGGGTTTGCCTTGTGCTAAAGACCCAGCCAGCAACTCGTTTACGAGGAAGGCCTTCCTTTGCCCAGTACCATCAAATGATTTACTGCATAGTGTCACAGAGGCTGTTCCTTGGTCTTCCCTGGAGGGGATCATGGGGTGGGCCAAAGGGAGTGCAGGGGGTGGTTTGGACCCAGGGTCTGCCGGTTGCTGATCTCTGCTGTACGCGCTTGGAAGCCATGCCATTGGAACATGCCTTTTTCTAGCCCGAGGGCTGCATTCCTTCATGGCCAACCTTTCAGGGTCTGCATGCCAGTGGTAGACAAGGTCAGAGGCATAAGCAGGCAAAATCTCAGGTATGGCTTTTAGCTTTCGTACAACAGGCTAAATTCCAGCCATGAAAAGTCTGCAGTTTCTACAGCTCTTTATAGACCTCTCTCCATTCAGGCAAGGAAGAGGTGATGTCACAGTTGAAGGGCACATTCCAGGCAAGAGGAAAACACTGGAGGAGGATTTGAGGCAGGGCCATGATGGGGTGTGTAGCTTCTGAAGAGACTTGAGAGCCAAATATAGAGATTTGGGGGGCCACATTTAGTCCACGGACTGGAGGCTCCCCACCCTTGCACTAGAAGCATAGTTCTGTGTCCCCTCTGCCATTTCAAGAGCCCAGGTTTGTGATGTGGAATTGACAGAGCACACTGTATCCTTTGGCTCTGTGCTGTGAGAGGAAAGACAGCAGAGGGCAGTGGCGTGTTGGGGAGACGGAGATGCTACAGTCTGTTTGCTGCCTTCTCTTTCTCTCTGTGACTCATGGTTGGTTGCACAATTCTTTGCCTTTTGTTTAGAGCAAAGCTGGGCATGCCCCAGTTTCTGAGCTCTGAAGCACAGAGTCTCCTGCGAGCCCTTTTCAAGAGGAACCCAGCCAATAGGTTAGGTAAGATGTCCCGACTTGCTTTATATCCAACCACATCCCTGACACAAAAAAGTCTGCCACAGATCGGTAGTCAGATGCACATTGAGTTTTTTCAGCGACATGGCACAATGCTGCTGGAACTCACTGACACAAAAAGTTTAAACCCTCCTGTGAAATTAAAACTTTATTAGGGTTCAGAGGGGTTTTGTTTGTTTGTTTGTTTTGTTTTGCAGATTTATAAGCTGCTTGGCAGCAAGAAACTATACAAGCAGTGTACAATAATGAAATGAAACACAAATGATACAGACTCTTAAAACAGTGAAACCATTTCTTCTGTCGTACAGTTAAAGTTCCATAAAATGAGTCGGTCACACACCAGGGAATGCCTTCTTAAACAAAAATGTATTCAGTATCTGCCTAAACAGCAAGACGCTAGGCCAATTCCAGAGGGCTGGAACCACAACACTAAAAGCCTGGTTTCTAGTACAAAGTGCACCTCTGGGGCATGCAGCACTCCCAGCAGTGCCCCATCTGTGGAGCACAGTTGCCAGGCAGGGATATACTGGGGGAAATAGCACCTTAGCTACCCTGGCATCAGCAGTATGATGGAAATCAAAGGGGTGTGTGTGTGAAATCCTCAAAGGATGCTTCCCCCATTCCTATTTCATGCTTTAGCTGAAAACTGATAGCTACAGTGCAGGGGTGGCTCAGCTGTGACCCTCCAGATAGATAGTGCTGGACTACCAACTCCATTGTCATTGAGTATTCTGGCGGGAGCTGGGCTTCAACAACATCTGGACAGCCACAGATTATCCCTTCCTGCTGTGATAATGTTAGCAATACAGTCAGGAGACCCCTGTTGAATCAGATCAAATGCCCATGTAGTCAAGCCACCAAGATACCCTGTTTACTTTTTTTATTTAGAAATTTATAGACGACCCTTTGCCAGAAAGTCACAGGACAGTTTGCAGCATAATAAACAAAATGGTGTCTTTCTGTTTCAGGTTCTGGTTCAGATGGTGTTGAGGAAATAAAGCGCCACCCTTTCTATTCCACTATTGACTGGAATGTGAGTACCAGTCTTTTCCTCTCAGTTTTTCTCTTCAGTCCTGCAAGTTCTTTAAAATTCACATCTGTAACTGGTAAACAGTACAGCTATGGCTTTTGATTTGCTGTGATAGGTGCTAGTTTGGACATATACCGGCTGTTCCGGAGAAGGGAACCAGAATTCTGGGTCCTGAAAGCAACTTCTGTGGCTCCCCAAAATTATGCAAATAGCCGAAGAGCAGCTGTGGGTGGTGGTTTCCTTTCAGTTTAAAAAGCCAACCAATTGCTATCCTAACTCTGGTCTATGCAGTTCTCTGTATACAAAATGGCAGCCAGCTTCAGTCTATGTTGTCCCGTGATGCCATTTCCCCCAAACCATGCCCATGTGACATCAGCTGATGGGCAGGGTTCAATCCTGCTGGATGCTGCTTTGCCAGCACATACCCTGCAGGGAACACACTGGCAAAGACCCATCCCCACAGGTCAACTTTGACAGGTCAGTCATTTGCTGTCATCATGATGTCAGGTAATTGACAAATGGGCAGGACGACCTGCCTGTCACAGTTGACCCAGCAGTGGGGTGTGGGATAAAGATTTGGCTCATGAAGCCAAAGAGTTTCCCCACCCCTGCTTCACATAAAGGTAATGTTTTTGCATGAAGGAGCATTTCATCATGTGATCCCACCTTTCCAAAGTGGTGTGCTCCAGGTTCAGGTTAGCACCTGGGGGAGCACAAGGCCTCTAATCAGAATTTTGCTTTGCTCTTCCTCCTTTTGGCTTTCTTGGTGCATCTGTGTCTCAGTTTTTGAAATGACTTATTTGGTGAAATGGATTCAGCTGCCCCTTGTGTATACCTTTTCACTCTGCAGAAACTCTTTCGCCGAGAAATCAAGCCACCTTTCAAACCTGCCGTTGGCCAACCAGATGATACCTTTTATTTTGACAAAGAGTTTACCTCACGAACGCCAAAAGGTTTGTATTTTGGACTTTGGCACAGTAAGAGAGGTGTCTCATGATGCTGCATTAAGCTCCCATCTTCTCTGTCCAATGGCCATGCTGGCTGGGCTGTTGGGAGTTATAGTCCAGCAACATCTGGAGGGCCACACATTCCCCATCCCTGGCCTTTTAAACCCTGATGTCTGGACATGTTGGGTTATACCCAACTAAATTCTACTCAGTGTAGACCCATCAAAATTACCATGTGATACAACTGCTTGTTAATAGGACACAAAAGAAGCCCTGAATTTGGTTTTAAGATAATACATTAATGCCCAAGTTCAGTTTGGGATGTTGTTTGCAGTGAACTTTGCGTGTTTTCTCCCTTGGAAGCTTGATGGATGGGTTTTGCTTGATGTTTCATGCCCATCTGCAGGATCAGAAGTTCCCCATTTGCTTTTCCAGTATGAAAATCTTCCTTGTGTGCTAATGAAAGTCTAATAAAATTAGTATCCTAGGATATACAGAGAGACCTTATCTAAAAGGGAGTATTGTGTCATCTAGCTCTCTCCTCTGCCTCTCCCCAAATGCTACAGCCTAGCAAAAGTGAAATGCCCTTCTCATTTGTTTCTGTTCCAGCATGGTGGGTAGAATCAAGGAAAACTTTATTGTCCCCGGATTGCTCTCGCTTGATGGTCCTTACCTTGGGGCCGCCTTGATTGTTCAGAGGGGGCATAAAACAGCCACCTGCCAAAAAGCTGCTGTTTCAATACAGTTAGTTTTCTTCTTTCCTCCCTCCCTCCCCTTTTCCAGACTCCCCTGGGATTCCGCCTAGCGCAGGGGCCCATCAGCTCTTCCGAGGGTTCAGCTTTGTGGCCACTGGGTTGAATGAAGATGAGAAGGCCAAATCCCCACCAGTGCCTTTGCATTCTATGGTACAGGTAAGGGGGAGGTCGCAGACAAGCATCGTGAGAGCTGGTGGGGCAGGCCTACAGTGTGTTGAAGTAGAGCTGGGCTTAATTGAAGCTGCCTTCCCAAAATTATAGCCTTGGGTCTCTCCCACCCCCCATTTCCAAAGCAAATAACATTACAAAATAGCATGCATTTCAAAAGATAAGGTAGACATTTCACAGCCTAGAGGCAGTTTTCATCAGATGCAAATGGTCTCTTCAGAACTGCCTTACACGGAGTCACCATCCATCTAGCTTAGTACTGTCCACACTGACTGGCAGGGGCTTTCCAGGATTTCAGGCAGGCTCTTTTCCTAGCCCTGTTGAAGCAGGGACTTTCAGAGGAAAGTAGCAGTTTTGGGGAAGGATGTTCATGGGGAAAATCATTCTGGAGAGCAAAGGTTAAACCTCCCCCCACAAAAAACCTCACCTGGAGGCCCAGTCTGGGTCCTCCACACACCCACAGCCTACAGCCTCTTTTTGAAGTACAAAAATTAAAGAGACAGAAGCCCTTTGTGTGCCTCAGTCAGCATAGGAAGCTTGGCCCACTGAAGCAGCCTAAATTCTCCCCCTCCTCTTCTCTTTGTACTCAATCTGACTTCCAGCAACTGCATGGTAAGAACCACCAGTTTAGTGACGGCTACGTGGTGAAGGAGGCCATTGGCGTAGGTTCCTACTCGGTGTGCAAGCGCTGCATTCACAAGGCAACGGGAACAGAGTACGCTGTCAAGGTCAGAGCCTCTCTCGTCAACCTGCTCATGAAAAGCTGTAGCTTTTTAAAAAAAAAATATCTAATGACATCGTTGAAGGGAATTTGTATTTGCAGATGCTTTTTTCTAGTGGAGAGGAGGAGCCAAGGCTGGCAACCAGCACTTAAATCCTAAGCCTTGTGGCATCAGACTCCAGAGTCCCAACCTTCTCTTTGCACAGCAAGACCTTGGACCTGAGTTGGTGCAGCCTAGTAGTTAAGTGAACTCAGATTTCAAATCTCAGTACCACCATGGATTTGCCAGGTGGCTTCGGGCATTTGTGCTGCTGCTGCTGCCCTCTCTGTCTCTGTCTTATGTCTTCAGCCTCAGTCTGCCGTATGGGGATAATGCTAGAGGACTGTTGGAACAATTACTGAGCCAATGTGTGCAAAGTGTTTTGAACACTCATGTGATATAAATGCTAAATTGATGTGGCTTTGCAATAAGTGAGGTACCTTCTTGCAGGTGATTGACAAGAGTAAGCAGGATCCCTCAGAGGAGATTGAGATACTCCTACGGTATGGACAACACCCAAATATCATCACCTTGAAGGATGTGAGTGTAATAATAGAATAAGGTTGATTGGAAACTCAGGGCCTTGCTTGCTGGTGGGTTGCATGTGTCTCAGGAACAAAAAGTGTAGTTCTTCCATAAAAACATGTAAATTTGTGTCCCTTCTCTCCCTCTGTGCCATCCAGTTTGGCTACGTAGCCGACCTTTTGTAAAGCGATAGCCTTGCAAGTTTCATAGTCTCTACATAGCCATGTGCAAGTGAATTCTGATGTCTCACTCCAATATAGCTTTGAATCTCCTTTGTTGCAGCACAGAACTTGCCCTTGCAATGGCAATGTGTTTCTGGATGCCTGGGAACCAGCATGAAACGGACACTTTCTCTGAGAGACTAGTCACTGTGCCCTCATGCAGGCTGTCTTTTTTCCAGCTGTGCTTTGCTGGATCAGATGCAGCAGTTTCTCTAGTTTCATGGACTGGGCATCACAAAGCTCAAGCCCATCACAAAGCGAAATTTTGTCCCTGTTACTAAATTTTGTGCAGTTTCCTACCCTTTAATGGACTCTATGTGAAGCTGGATAACTTGGTCATAAATTCCACTCTGTATGCTTATAAAAGGTTTCAGGAGTGTAGTTAAATAGTAACTTCTTTAAAACGTGTCCATCTGATAGGTGTATGACGATGGCAAGCATGTTTACCTGGTGACAGACTTAATGAGAGGAGGGGAGCTGCTGGATCGGATCCTGAAGCAGAAGTGCTTCTCTGAAAGGGAGGCCAGCTCTGTCCTGCACACGATCTGCAAGACTGTGGAATATCTTCACTCGCAAGGCGTAAGTTGGAGATACGGAGAAGCCTGCCAATGCTGCAGAGATCTCTCCTTCTCTCATCCAGTTGCAAAGAAGCAAGTGTGTCAACGGGGGAGAAGCAACATAACCAATTAGGGCCTTAAATCGCCTGGTAGATATTAAGGTATTTGTCTAGTGTCAGAAGGATGAAACTTAGAGTGTGTTTGAACAGAAAAACCAAGGTATAAGTGAATACATAGCTATTGTTTGTAAATTGGAAGGCAGCCATGACCGGAGGGAATAACCTGTGGTTTCCACTGTTGCCTTCACAGGTGGTCCACAGAGACTTGAAACCTAGCAACATCCTCTATGTAGATGAATCTGGCAACCCAGAGTCTATTCGCATTTGTGACTTCGGCTTCGCCAAGCAGCTGAGGGCAGACAATGGGCTCCTCATGACCCCTTGCTATACTGCCAATTTTGTGGCTCCAGAGGTGAGTAGCTCATGAGCCTCGCTGCATCTATTGCTGCCCTAAGTCTGCAAAATACACTCATTCTACTGTTCCCAACAATTTCAGCATATAGGTGCAAACAAGCAGATTTCCACTGTTCCTAGCTGGAATGTGTCCTTGTACTGATGGTGCCTCTTGCTAGCTATTGTACAAATATGACATTTACATTGATTGACGTGGACACTTCCATTTTGACCTGCTAGCTGTCCCTTCCCTGCTTGGCCTAACTGTTGCTAAACAGGTTCACACACAGCTTGATTGCTCAACACAGACCAGAATTGCCTTTCCAGTAAACATCCAGTTTCACCAAATCATCTTAGGCCTAGAACAAACTAGATTATATCAAGATGTCTGTGCTGCAGATTATAATATGACAGAATTATATTCAGTAGATTAATAGACCCCTGGTGGTTGTATGCTCTGCTTGGCAGATGCATCAGGCAGGCGGTCAAATTTATCTGCTAAAAACATTGGCCATCACAAAAAATGCAAACAGTACTGAGGTACAATTTAACACCAGTCTCCAGCACACTGGACCCCATGTTGTTCAGTGAAATTTTGTCTAATCCATTGGGCTGCTAAAGCAAACACAGAAAGCTAATATGCAGAGTATTAATCTCCACCCATCAGCAAATAATCGATTATCTCTCTACTATTCCAGAAAAAAACACCTTCTTGTTCTTTATACAGCAATTATGGTGGCCAATTGTTGGCTTTGCGATAGCTTCTTTTAAACTTTTGGCAGGCAAAATTGGGTTTCTCAGATCCACCTATGCTGTATGGCAAAAATGTGTTCCGAGACTCAGCTGTGAGACACCATACACACATGTCTCTAAACATCTCTGAGTTTTGGCTTTTGTGTGTTTGACGCAATGTCTTTTTATTTCATGATGCTACAGGCCTAAAAACAGATAAAATCCACTCGTGTTCTTCTCTTCACTACTTTCTTTTTAGAGCCAAAGGAACAGGGAAGAGGCTACCAGCTCAAGTTGTCCCCACTTCTTATTGCATTCATTCTCATTCTTATTGGGGAGATAAAGTACTCCTGTACTACTTGGCTTTCTCCCAAGAATCCTGGGAACTGTAGCTTGTTAATGACGCTGGAAGTGTGGCTTTGTAAGGGGTCTCCTAAGAACTCTCAGCATCCTTAACAAGCGACAGCTACCAGCATTCTAAGTAGTATAATAGTGCTTTAAATGTGTGGTATGGATGTGACCTGATGTTCTCTCTCGTTTTTCTTGGTCCTTATCTCATTTAGGTATTGAAGCGACAAGGTTATGATGAAGCCTGTGATATCTGGAGTTTAGGGATCCTCCTCTACACAATGTTGGCAGGGTAGGTGCCAGCATCCATTGTGCTTGGTTAACAGTAGGTTTTCAGCCCTATTTATTTATTACAGTTTTATCCCATCCTTCCACCAAGGAGCTGAAGGGGGTGGGGACATACATGGTTGTCCTCTCTCTGCCTTTTACCTTCACAACACCCTGAGCTAGAAGAGAATGAGTGGCCCATGATCACCCAGTGTACCTAATGGCTGAGCAAGAGATTTGAGTCCTTCCTATTTCTAACCCATCACCCTTAAGCATTACACCATGCTAGCTCCCTGCAAAATTTTAATTGCTTAATCGTATGGTGTTTTTTTTACACCACACACATGCACATGTGCGCACATGCACACACATTTCTATATAATATTTGCACTAGTCCATCGTCACAATGTTTTCATTGGCTGTTTACCAAGGTTCTAGGGGCAGGGCAGGGTGAGGCTGCCCTGCGAAAACAGCATGTTGACAGGGGAAGAGAAGCAAGAAGCAAGTGGGGGCAGGTTAATATCAGGGCAGGGAGAAGCAGGCGGGAGACAGCCAGGCACCACGACAGAAGGTGGAGGACCGAGAAGAGTAGGCAGCCTGAGTAAGCAGCCATGCTGGGATCCCATCTGTTGAGAGAAGCTCCCTGGCAGAGCAAGGACAGCATCACCCATGGTGGTGGAGGTCAGGAAGGAGGAGAAGGGGAGGCACAGGAAGGAGAAGAAAAAAGGAGGGAGCCATGTCTGTAGTGGTGAATGACTGTGGGGTGGTGGCAAAATAAGGCCTGGGCAGAGGCTGAGACAGGTGGAACTGGCATGGGGCTCAATGTGGTATTTGGAGGACTGAGGGGGAATATGGGGGGAGGAGTGAAGTTGTATGTGAGAGAGAATTGTAGGGCTCTAATGATGGGGGGAAGAAAGCTGAGGAGGAGGAGGAATTGGGAGAGGGCAGGTGGCAGTGCCTGGGGTTGAAGGGGGCGTTTCAAGCTATGGGAGCATTTGGGGGAATATGGCAAGGAGGGAAGAAGGCAGGTGCAGGAGGAGGGTTGATAGCCGATATAGGGCTGCTGGAAGAGGGCGGGGGGGGTTAAAGGGGGGTTCTTGAAGGAGACTGGGGGAGGCAAATATTAGTCTGTGTTTGTATGTGACGGAAAGTGGGGAGAGAGATCAATGTGATAACAGAGATGGCTGGTGAAAGTGGTGGTGGGAAGCAAGGATTACACCGGGTTCCTTGGAAGGGCTGGGGGAAACAACAGGAGGAGGCATGGGAATGAGGCTGAAGGTGAAAAATGGAGGGAAAATAAGAGAGAGGAGCACCTTCATAATAGTGCTGGGTAAGTGAAAAAGGGGATTTGCAGTTGCATTGGGTGGAAGGAGGAAGGTTGAAAGGGTTACCCTGGGGAAAGTGGGAGGGGAGTCAGAGGCTAAGCATTAAAGATTTAGGTAAAAACAGTATTTCCAAAGCAAGAAGCATATACTCTTCATTTTTACATGAATACACATGTGTGTAGCTGACATCATCTTAATAAGAGTTGTTCTGTCCTCTATAAGAAGATAAAATGCCTATTTTAGGGTGGTGCTTGCCATCTGCAGTTTTTATGAGCATTTGTATGAATGATTTTTTTAAAAGATGCTACTTAGTTTTAATCAGATGCACATTTTCAGATGATTAAAGGGTTTCTAATCAAATCGATCCATTAAACATTGCAGCCCCAAGTTTCTTATTGGTTCTAGATGGATGCCTATTAACTGTCCTGGATCTCCAGCAAATAGCAGGACAGAGTAGGACCAGCCTACAGAGTAAGACATTAGGTGAAGAGAGGCAGCTGCCTTGTGGAACAGAGGCTGGGTATGGGGTGTGGAGTGTGGATGGTAGTGGCACACACCAACCATTCAGCCTGGTCCACCTGGCAGCCTGCTGCTTTCAAATATGGATATTTGGATTGCTATCTTTGTCACCTGTGTTGCAGTTAGAATCAGTTACCAGCCTGGTCAGCTTTTGGGCATGGAACTGGGGTGTGGGGACTCCATCTTTTTTTCTCTCCCAGCAACAAACTGCCTTTTTGCAGAGTGAGGTGTCCCCTCCCACCATCAGGTGTCATGAAATGGCAGCAAACTGTTTAGTTATTTAATTTATTGTTGCAGTTTTACCACCCAGGAGGGAGAGGAGCATGTGAGATTTTCTGCTTCAGGTGCCAAACAACTTGATCAGTGTTGGGTATGACGTACCTTGATTGGGGTGGGGGAAGAGAATGTCATTTGCTGCTCCACCTGAGGCAGTGAAATGTCATTGGCTGGCCCTAACCTTACAACTAGATGCACGTCAACGACTGTATCCTGCCTCTTTACAGAGGGACTTGGTGGCGTAGATAGGGCTCCAGGCACTTACCACTCTGATCTGTTTAGCCCTAGTGAGGCTGCTTCATCAGGTGCCTTCTGATGATAGCCAAGCGGTCCCCAAGATTTCTGTGGAATAATATTCTCTTCTGTCTGTAAAAATAATGGAAGGTGCGCCACACCCTTAGCTTGGGTGTCCCAGAACTGGTCTTAACCACTAGGTGTCAGCGTTTTCCTTGAATGAACAAAGTGTCCTTCTCTTCTGGTGTTTCTCAGGAGCCCCAGTGGTTGAAGGAAGAATGTAGGGCCTGATGGGAATCCCAATGATTTTGGGAAGAGGCAAAGAGCATGGGGCTGGGGGGAGTGATACACTACATGGGGTGGGGGTGAGGAATCCCAAATCATGAAGACCCTTTTTACCGAGGGTTCACTGGAGGAAATGAGATAATGGCTCAGTAGCTGCAACTGGATGCAGCTATGGAGATTGGGCAGTGCTCAATGGAGATCCCCAGTGTGCCATCCTTTTAATGAGGCAATATGAAGCAATCTGTTTCTATGGCAAGATCCATGGGGGTGGCAGATCTGACCCCCACCCCACAACAGATCACCTGCCTCCAGCAGCAGAGAAACACCATCAGCAGCAGCAGCTTCCGGGTTCCAGTGAGATCTCGTGAGCTTCCATGAGTGCCCCACCACCAGTGCAGGAAGGGGTTGCTTAGTAACATAATAAATCGGTTGAACTGCATAGATCATAGGAAAGTGCCTTATACCAGGTGGGAGTATTGGCCAAACTAGCTCAGTATTGACTGGCCGTCTAGGTCTTCAGGGTTTCTGGCAAAGAGTCAGGAACTGAACTGGGACCTTCTGCATTCCAAGCATGTACACTTCCACTCAGCTTGGCTTCGCTGCTCCCATCACCCAACACAGAACTGGGCCTACCTGGAACTGTTTTTGAGGCACTCCCATTAAAAGATTATTCTTTATTTCCAGCTGGTGGGTACCTCTTAAAGCAGTTTTATATGGTGCAACCCATTCTTTTTCAATACTTCTAAGCTTTAGAAAAACTGCTGTGGGTATAGTGGTGGTTTTTTTTGTTGTTGTTGTTACTACTACTACTACTACTACTACGAATTATACATTTAAAAACTGATGTGAACATATTATTAACGATTGTAGAGCAATAATGAACCTGAAGGTCGGTCTGGCCAACCCTTTGCCCTGCGGCAAAATCTTCTAACCCCCAGCCAATCATTGACAGACTAGAGCATATAATTCAGCTTATAATAAGGCACTTTTGACTTATTGCATGGTCATAATTACAGTGATTTATGACATCTTCTAGTGTGGAGACTGTGTCTGTCTATCTGTCTCTCCTGAGAATCCCAGCTTTCATGGAGGTATTTTTTACCCCCTTTCTTTGCAAAAAAGCAACTTGTGCAGAAAAGCTTTATATCTGCTGAAGTCTCTGCTAGGAGTTTAGCACCTCTTCTTTGTCCCTAGCTAGTTCTACCCCCACCCCACCCCCATCTCCAACCTTACCTCCTTCCTCCCACTGTTCCAGGCTTACCACTCCTCCTTTCCATCTGCTACCACAGTGTTGAAATTTTTTTAAAAAAATACTATTTTTCCTCTCTTGCAGGTACACCCCATTTGCAAATGGGCCTGGCGACACCCCTGAGGAGATCCTCATGCGAATAGGTGGGGGAAAGTTCTCTCTCAAAGGGGGGAATTGGGACACAGTTTCGGACGCAGCCAAGGTAAGCCTGAGTGCCAATGTTCGAAGTGGAGTTTGGGTGTTGCCATCCTTCTTCTGGCTTGGGGCAGGGGCTTGCTATATCCCTGGACTCCAAAGGAAGGAATTCCTGTCCTGCAGAGAAGTGACCCCTGCACCTTGCTCTTGTCATTAGCATGGTATCTGGAGAGCTATTGGTCCCTTTCAGTTCTCTGCAGAATTTTTGTGTGGAGCAACACTTGGATTCCTGAGAACATCTCCTTGCTCACTTTTGTTTTCTAGTTTCAAACTCTGTGGTTAGGAAGGTTTTCAGGCAATACTTGCAAGGCTGTGGTGCCTGTTCCTTGAATGCTGTCTGTGTCTTCTGCTTCTCTTGCCCCCATCTTATAACACATCCTGACCTTGTTCCTACATCTTCTGCTCCATCTTTTCCTCCATGCCCTTCAGAATAAAACATGCAGATCTTAAATGGGCAGAGATGTGTGTGAGATGTTGATACGGAGTGCTTTTACATAAAATGGGCACGTCTGCCAAAATGGCGCTGGATGTTCAATCCTGGTTGCAGAATTTCTTGACCTCATTGCCCAGACCTTAGGGTGTGGTATTCAATGCTAGTCTTACTTGGAGCAGACCCACTGAAGTTGATAGACATGGCTAACTTATGTTCATTCATTTCAATGAGTCTTGAGTAGAACTTAGTTGACTATCCCTCAATTATTATAATTTGGCTTGGAGCATGAATAACCCCACCAACATCCATGGTAATGGCAAGAAGGTTCTACATGTTCAGTGTGACATATAAGAGAAATTTAGACTTCTGGTATTTCCCCAAATATTGGGCCTGGTGACTGCCATGTTTCATTGTGGGGCGGCAGACATTTTTTCCTTCACGATGCCCCAGAATAATTGAACATCCAGGGCGTTGAAGGGTGAAGCGAGATGGTGGCTGGAATCTAGTCAGCACTAGATTCTAAAGGTATGAAAAAGGGTGACATTATTTGGCTTTTAAAATTATTTGTTTAATCAACAGGATTTATAAACCACTTAATCACCCATAACTGCTTAATGTTTATTAAGAAAAACTCACAAAATCAAAAGTCAAAAGCAAGTTCACTTGAAATTTATGAAAATATACGTAAAATCAGCCATTATTTTAAAATACATATAATAAAATAAGATTACATGTCAAGATAGGCTTGCCTAAACAGAGAAGGGGCTTTTTTGTTGCAGGGACTGAAATCAATACAGCAACGGCAATATTAATGGGGGCAGGAAGTTAAGAGGTCCTAGGGAAGGTCATCTGTGTCCACCCTCAAAAATGTGGCTGGGTTGTTGCCTGCTGGGGTCTTGAATCAAAGCAGCACACATACTTCAGGAAGTTCTGTCTTACCTACAATGGACTGGGATCTTGTTATCAGCCTTTTTTGGAATGCAGATATTTCCTCTATGGATTGATAGTAATCTGTGCAGTCCTCTTGCCACCAATGGGTACTTGGATTAAATAGTGTAGATTAAATAGAAGAGCTATTACAATAAGAAGGGTAGGAGGAAAGAGAGAGATGGGGGGGCGTCCCTAAGTACTTTTAAAAGTCGTCAGATGCACAAGAAACAAAGTTTACTCTCTGTAGAAGACAGAGGTCTACACCTGGCTATCAAGGGTACGCTTTCTTCTATAAGACAACCAAAGTCAGATTCTGGGAACAGGCGTCAAATAAATATAGCCAGGAACTTGAGAAATAGCAGTGCGGGCCTAATCAGCCAGTCAAAAATCTGTGAATTTATAGGTCACCCAGGTGAAAAAAGCATACAGCAGCTATATTCTCTGAATGCTTGTTGCAGGACCTGGTATCGAAGATGCTCCACGTTGATCCTCATCAGCGCCTGACAGCCAAGCAAGTCCTCCAGCACTTGTGGATAACCCAGAAGGACAAGTTGCCCCAGAGCCAGTTAAATCACCAGGATGTACAGCTTGTAAAGGTACAAATCTGGGTGGGAGGTGGTGGCAGAGGGAGAGGGATTTGTGTGCTTCCTGCATTGTCACCTTGGTCATATTGATATTTATTCATTCATTTAAAATATTGGAAGGGTGTTTATCTGCTCTTTAGCTGAAAATGTTCCCACAGCTGCTTATATAATAACAATAAAAACAAAGCAGTCCCTACAATCTAAAAGACATGTCACAAAAGGAACGAAGGTGAGGAGGGAAAAGGAAACCACACAAACTCAGGCACCAATTCCTGTAGGTACATATTAGTTCTTAATGACCAGCTGGAATGGAAACAGGAAGAGGATGAGCCAAATGGAGCTGCTCTCTCAGCTTCCGTCTTTGTCTGCTGCAGGCTGTTGGAATGGCGGCTGCTAGATGTCAGCTGAGGAATAGAGGGAACCAATAGAGTCAAAAAGCTGCTAGACATGAAAAAGCATCGAAAATATGCTACGTTAAAAGCAGCATCATAAATAGGAATGGCAACACTCACTATTATCTCTATTGAGCAGCTCTCAATTCTCTCCAAATCCTCCAGGAAATAAGACAAAGAGGAAGTCAGTCCACATTGTTACAGTAACTGTGAGCAGGTCCTGCTCACTAAAGGATGGGACTCCCTGGCAGATTTCAAAATTTGGGGAAGAAGGAATGCAAAATCACATGGGAGGCGATGTTCCCTGAGACATTCCTGACCCAGGCCATTTAAGTGAAGGTTAGCCAATGTGATGCCCTTCACATGATGTTGGACCACAACTCCCATCAGCCCCGGGCAAGATAGCCAGTGGCCAAAACTGATGAAAGTTGTAGGCCCCAATGACATTGGGAGAGCCACAGGTCCACTGTCCCTGCTTTATAAGTCAAATCCCAGCACCTAGAACTGGGTGTGGAAACACACTGGGGTACAGTACAAGGGGAATACATTGTAATTGGCATAGCCAGTCTCTCCTGGCAGAAGCAGCCAGCCAAGCAGAGCAAGGAGTTGTGCATATGGGCGGTAGGTTGCACCACTCCAAGGAGCTCATTCACAAGAACAGGCACTGTGAACTACTCTCTCAGAAGCAACAACAGCAACCCCTTTGCGGGAGGCTGTTTCACACATTACATGGGCTTGTTTCAAATGTATGTTCAACATGGAGACTGCAGCTAATTCCAGCTGCCGGGGAAGCCTACCTGGTACAATGCATGTGTCTGTAAGCATATTGGGTGCATTCATACTTTACCGAAGTAGCACTGGCTTGGCTTTGTTTCAGACTCTTGGTGAGGTATTGGGAAGGGTTCCTCTGTGTGTGTCACTTAAGCAAACATCTGTGGCTCTTCTCTCCTAGGGCGCTATGGCTGCCACGTACTCGGCACTGAATAACTCAAAGCCAGGACCCCAGCTGAAACCCATCGAGTTTTCCTTCTTGGCTCAGAGGCGAGTCAAGAAGCTCCCGTCTACCACACTGTGACATGGGAATGTTGGGCTCTCTCTCTCTCTCTCTCTCTCTCTCTCTCTCTCACACACACACACACACACACACACACACACACATAGCCAGTGCTGCTTCCTTACTCTGCACAAGCTGCTCTGGAAAGGAGCCGGAAAATATCACCCCAGCTAGAAGTCCACTTTGAAGCACTTCCTCAAATGCCAAGTGCCTTCAGGAAGACTAGCTCTTGCTACCCCTGTGGATTTCCTTTTTTGTTGTTGTTTTAAGTGTACAGAGAGACTATTTGTAAAGGGATCTATATAGGTGAATGACAGAATTTGAACTTTCAGCAGTCCGTGGCGTGGTGCTAGTGACACATGCAATCTCCTCCACTTGCAAAAAAAGGCGCCTTGGCCAAGTTGATGCCCCTGCAAAGCAAACCTGGTACAGCTGGAACAGCATTCGCTCCTCCCCTCTCACCAAGGTCACTCTAATGGGGTGGCTTGTTTGTTCTTAGGATCCCCTCTGTTTGTGCAGACTCTCTCTCTCTCTTTTACATAATCTATGAGTTATTGTGTGCATGAGCTTCTTGAACTTCATGCTTCCTATCCTCCAGGCCACGTGGCTGCTATCCAAGAAGATTTCAAACTTTCCTCTCTTCTTCTGTTCCCCCCCTTCCCCATTTGGACATCACAATGTCATGGACACTCTCCCACTTGCAGGGTTCTGGGATTACTCCTTTTTCTATATCCTTGAATCCAGTTGACTCCTAGACCTCTGCTGGATTATATCTAGCTTTTGAACGTGCAATGGGCTTGTAAGAAAACTTTTCCCACTGTGAAAATATCATTTTTTAGGTGGGGGGTTGTCTTTGGTTTTTAAAAATTCTCTATCAAATAGCACAATCCAGAGCCTCATGATGCAAAGTGCAAAAAAATCAGCTTCTTTTTTATTATTTAACTGATTCTGTGGCTGGTAACTCAGGGTTTCTGTCCGAATTTTCAAATAAAACATACCATGCAGTTGAAGTTTTTTTACTGGTTGACTTCATACTCCCCTGTCCATCCTTGTTGCGCTGTAGGGTTTCTTCTACATTGTACCTAGTTTATTCCTTATTGGTAATATTCTTGTAATCCCAGTTTATTGTTCCTGTGCATGGTTTGCATACTCTCAATCTCCAGTAATCATAATGTGTCAGAGAACGCCTGAGAGGGTAGTGTTTTCATGTTGATGTTGCTACCTAGAATTTCTTGGAGAATGTTTCAAAGATCTCTTGCAGTTTAGTCTAAACTAAGCATGGAGCAGGTTGCCATGGGTGGCTATTCCATTCACTTTGATTAAAAGGGCTTCACAGAACAGGAGAGCTTGAACCGTCCCATACCTTGCCTGCCTGTGCTTGGTTGTGCTTTTTCGCACCTGGTTCACTTCTCACATCAGTTCCACAATATAGGTGAAGACCCTCTCCCATGTTCCAAATACTCATGCCTCCAAAACCAATAGAAATGTGGAACCCCTATCCCCACATCTTTAAGAGGAAGAAGGTTCATATGGGAGGAGATAGTCTTTATTATCCTGGATGCAAACCTTTTAGAGCAGGAATGGGGAACCTCAGTCCCAGAGGCCAAAAACTGCCCTCCCTTTCCAGATCTCTAAACTCTTCCCCAAGCTGTAGCCCCTCACTGGGCCTGCTCCTCACCCTCCTCAGTTGCTTTTGCCTGGCTGGAATGTGTCCTTGAATTCTGCTTGGACAGAGATGGAGTGTGTGTGTGTGGAAACCTTTGACTTCTGCATAGCTGGAATATAGCCGCCTATACACTGGTAAGAATCTCATCTATTTTCCCCAGCCACCATTGCCTCTGGCCACACTGACAACTGTCATGTGGTCCCTGGACTGGAAAAGGTTCCTTATCTTGACTTGAAGCTTTCAAGGGAAGAACCGGCACCTTGAGCAAACTGGTGCCCAGGAGAGCTTTTTGGTCAAATAAGAATTGAATGCTTCCATTTGTTGCTTTCTCTTCACCTCGGGGGCTAATATATAACATGCTGCTGCTGCTGCACCTTGCATCTTTTCTTGGCAGCTCTTCCTCGTAAATAACAGTATTAGGAGGACCCCACTCTTGTCCCTGATTAACTCCCCATAGAACAGACTGGTGAGCTCATCTAAATAATAAAACAATGCAGTGTCTAGGAGCTTCCAGACTCGAGTTTGTGCTTTGAAGATGGCCTGTGCAGAACTTGATCTGAGATCACCCTACTAAATCAGCTTCATGTACTGGAGAGTGTTAACATCCTTCCCCCTGACCCTACCCCAAGTTTCCTGTATTTTTACCAGCTGTCAGAGCAGAAATTCAACAGATGGAGCTTTAACTGGGATGCAGCAAGGAAACAACACCTGCTCGAATTTTCCCTGTATCAGTCATTTAAAAGCCTAGGAGTCCCTGCCAGCAACAACTGAGCAGCAGATGGGAGGACCTTTCATGTCAGTCCATGAGTTCAGTATCTCAACCTGCATTTGATAATTGTATAGATCCTTTAACCACATTACCAGTCTACCCTGGAACAACTGTGGATGGAGAAGCAGACTTCAGTGACATCAAACTCAAGCAGGGCTGGTATTAGGAAATGGGTGAGGATTCTTTAATTAGTCAGAAGACTTAAAAGATTTTTGGTAGGGGTAGAGAGGTTTTATTATTATTATTATTAGTTCTGAACACCCTGTAACTAAAAGAAACCTCTACTTACAGTTAACCCTGAGGTCCTAACTGAGGTCATATAATAAAAACGTACTGTATGTATGCTGTTATATGCCACTGTGGCTGCTAACACTGCTTCAATATAGATGCTGAGTATTGGGAAGTGTACACACTATACACATGACTTGCCCCAAATAATCCTGGGAACTGTAGCTCTCTGAGGGGTAAACTACAGTTCCCAGGATTCTTTGTATGGTGTGTACACAGCCTTCCTTAGAAAAGAAGTCAAATAGAGTTGCAATTATTAATATATGATCTAGAGATGTAAATGTTGTGATAAATATTTGATATATGAATTACATGTATTTCTGTATTATATCTCTAGTGCTAGAATTTTGTATAATTAATTTTAAAAACAAAGTAGAAAATAAGCAGGGGTGTGTGGACAAGTATAATTAAGTTCCCCTCCGAGGGAATGGCTGGTTGGAATCTTGAACAGCAGCGCTCTTGTTTGGAGAAGGATACACTGCAACCTTTTACCACCAGTTCCACTCGTACAAAGTGCAGTGTCAGAATACTGTGCCTTGTTTTATACGCAGCCCCAAGCCCTAATTCCTCCTATTGTTATCTAGGACAGTGCTAGCAGTCAGACTACTTTTTGTGTACAGTGGCTCTGAAGTAATAGCAGTTGCCAGTCCAGCGAAATTATCCCCATGTTCAGAATGGTTCCGGCCTAGATTTGACTAAATGGAGGTCAGGGTAAGGAGGAGAAAATGGCAAAAATCTCATTTTTGTGTGTGATTTATTTTCCCACAGCAGTATCAAGAACGAACATAATTGGCACATCAGAGTTTCTAAAATATCAGATAACACCAATTCATTAGAATGCATGTCACCATTTAGGGGCCAGTTTATCCTCCTGTCTTACTGGTACACACACATTTACCCTCTGTATATATCATAGATAGTCAAAATTAGTTTGTCTTGCTCTTTTTGAGGGGTTAGGGTGCCAAGCCACATTTAACGCTTGCCAGTTGAAGATGCCACACAGTAGTAGGCTCCACAGCAAGGGTAGAGAGCCTACGGCCTCTCTGCCGGGTCCTCAGAACTCTTCCTTCACTTGCTCCACATCACACCCTTGCTTTTGCTTGGTTGAAATGTATTCTTGAATTCTAATGCCTCCTGCTTGTCTGGATGGAGCTTTAAGAGGAATGTGCAAGTGTGTGTAGAAACTAGCCTACTGGACAAAGGCAAAGTTTAACTTCATTGCTCTATCAGCTGTTGCTTCTGGCCCTGCCAGAATGTGGCCCCTAGTAGATAGTCCAGAAGGGAATGTGGCCCTCAGGCTACAAAGGCTTCCACACCACTGTTCTACAGCAAGAGGAGTTGTGCTGATGAATGTGGGGCTTTCAGACATGGATGGAAGATGCACCAGGCCAGGCACCCCAAGTTGGAATAGTAGAAGAAAAAGTAGAAGAGGCTATGCTACTTGGATTACAGTGCTATTTCGAACATAGCATAATCCACATAAATCCAGGTATTTGTCTTATCCACAATTTTGAATAAACAGAGCGCAGAGGAAACTGCTGGTATCCATGATTCTGGCACTTTTGTTTATTATACCTTGGGCTTTCGGTGGAGGTGGGAGAAGCTATTTTAATAGTTCCTCAAAAGGAACTGCAAACCTGTGGCTCGGTTCTCTGGGTGAAGCTCTTGTGATTGGCCTGAGCAAACGCCAAACTTCCAGCCAGGAAAGTAGTTGGTCTGCAGTTCTAATCTCTTGTTGTCAGGTACGTTTTGACATCTTCTAGGTCTGATCTGGCTGTCTGCATTCCTGCGAAGGTAGTGGTTGTGCATCAGCATGCTGCATGAGAACAAAGTTCCAGATTGTGCCCTGACTCTGTGCAGGTCATTGGAAACAAAGCTAACCCAGAATAGGAATTTCCCCCATTATTTTACCATGTCCTTCTATGTGGACTTCTGCAGTGTGTGGATAGATAGATATGAGAATATTCCATCTCCCAAGTGCTTGAAGTGCAGGCGAGGGAATCATTCTCTACGTTTGGGGATGGCTCCCTTTGCTGCAGTTTTAGAAAGCTGGAAGGGGGCATGATTTGACCCCTTTTTCTATGTGAAAGACCTCCATGCCCCCTCTACCTGGATCTTTCTCTCATGTGTTTCTTTAGCAGTATGCATCAGTACTGTTTGTTTATTCAAGTTGTCTCTTTAGATCAACCCATGTTTAGTGCTTGAATTAGAGGAGGGCTAGAAGGGGCTAGAAGGGACGCGGGTGGCACTGTGGGTAAAACCTCAGCGCCTAAGACTTGCCGATCGTATGGTCGGCGGTTCGAATCCCCGCGGCGGGGTGAGCTCCCGTCGTTCGGTCCCAGCTCCTGCCCACCTAGCAGTTCGAAAGCACCCTTAAGTGCAAGTAGATAAATAGGTACCACTTTATAGCAGGAAGGTAAACGGCGTTTCCGTGTGCTGCGCTGGTGCCGGCTCGCCAGAGCAGCTTCGTCACGCTGGCCACGTGACCCGGAAGTGTCTTCGGACAGCGCTGGCCCCCGGCCTCTTAAGCGAGATGGGCACGCAACCCCAGAGTCGGTCACGACTGGCCCGTACGGGCAGGGGTACCTTTACCTAGAAGGGGCTTGACCACCATACCTTTCAGGGTGTTCCCCTAAGTAACTGTTTTTAGAAAGCAATGCAAGGAGCAGGGCTTGGCTAACATTGGGCTGCAGCTTGTAGGTTTCACCTCCCTGCACACTTCTTATCCTTTGAGCATTGCAAACAAACATTTTTTAAAAACCTAAAGAAAATGGAGTCTGGTGCCCTCATTGCCACATATAAGCATATACTGGAAACAGTTTTATTTTAGTGGACAAAGCATTGCTTGTTTTAGTAGACCTTTAAGTGAACTGTTTTCCCAGCTACCTGCTGCCTTCAGTTTGCTGTGTATTAAATCATTTGCTTACTTTAAATTGTTTAAAATAGCCTTGAGTTTTAAATTTTAATGCCACATTGGATAAAACTCTTGAAAGCTAGCAATCTCTGTACTGTGATTGCTTCTCAATCTTTCTACAAGGGAGAAATGATGATCCATTGGTCTGACAAAACATAATTCACCTCACTGGGGATTACTTCTGAGTAAAATGGCGAGCTTTTTGTTGCAAATTATACCCAAACTCTTATGTAAATAGCACTCCATGTTATGCAAATATTTAAATTAGTCTTCCTTCTACCCAAAGCCCAGGACAATTAGATGAATGAAGGAGCTGCATGGTGTAATTAATTGATTCATAACCGATCAAAATTTGACTTGATTTTTTTTTTTTACTTGGAATCTAATTGTCATTGGTGAAAAGAAATCACCTTCAACTGACTAACCAGGGATGTTTTACCAAAAAAATGCACCGCTACCATCTTTCTAATTCCTTTAATGTGATGTAAGAGTGACACAAGCTGGACAATATGTTTTCTCCCCTAACTTGATGGACTTAGGAGCATGGCTGGTGCAGAATGTTGTGGCCAGACTACTGATAGGACACACGGCTTTCAACATAGAATCATAGAATTGTAGAGTTGGAAGGGAGTGGAGCCATTATTAAAATATCTTGCTGCACATTTATTACTAAGCCAAGTTCAAGGTCCTTATATGAATCTACAACTTTACACAATTTCGGTCCAGGGTGCATTATGGACCACCTAAACCTTTATATCCCAGCTCATTCACTGAGATAATCTGCAAGAGTGTTGTTAGTAGTTTCCCCAGTTGGCGAGGCTCACATGACAGCAACAAGAAACTGAGCCATTAGTACAATCAGCCCAATCCTGTTGAACACTCTGCCAATAGAAATTCAGCAGGCACCTTCTGTTTTAACCTTCAGACGTATGCTGAAAGCTTTTCTGTGCCACCAAGCTTATTAAGAAATTCAGAAAATATTTTTCTGTAATAGTTATATGATCTCCAATTTTACGTGGTATTTACCGTACATACATGTGATTGTTGAAAACTGCTTTGATCTTTTAATTAAAAGTGGTGTACAAATATTTTTATAAATAAGGCAAGAGACAAAAGATGGACTCTTGGGGTAGGAAAATTAAAGACTATTCACTCACTGGACTTACATAGCAGGGTAGTTCGGGAGACAAATGAGAAAAGTATTGCAAGTCAAGGGCAATATAAGCTAATACGGAAAAAATACTATCTTAGTTGCAAATAAAACATGGTGAGAAATTCGCCTGGTGCTTTAGATGTGCCAGGGGAAGTTCTCTGCATTATTCACACACAGCATATGGATTTATTCCAACAACACCCACAAATGTTGAAATAGGCTTTGGGGACAACATGAGTACCCTTGCCTAGGTGACTCTTGCCAGTTTGCCTTTGACTTCATTACATTGTGAATCAACTCATCTTAGGGTTTTCAGTTGCTATAAGAGTATGGAATAAGAGGCATGCTGCAGTCCTGGATTTCCATTTCTTTCTCAGATCAGGACACCTGCTCCCTTTCTCTGCCCTATCAATCCCGTGGCTGGTCTGTCTCAATTATGTCAATTAGAGGTTCAGTGCTGCCTTACTGAATTGAGCTGGCTTTTCCTCCCTTGATAGAATTGGAATCCAAACTGCGGATGGGAATCACTCAGGCTGCTTTTTTATTGTTTGCTGATTAGAAAATTAGTTTCCATGGACCCAATGGAAAACAGTGTTGCTGAAACATAACGAACTGGTTTTCCCCGCTCCCAATATATTTGAAGTTTCACTGAGGTTTTCAAGACCCAGACACACTAGCATCTAATGCAACTATTAATTCATCTGTTGTAGTAATACTGCTTGCTTCCTGCCCAGTCTTTTTCCAAATTGGTGCTTAGATGGACAACAAGACAATGTTTTCAGTGAGTATTATCATGTGTATTAATTTTTTTTATCTATTCACCTGTGAGCCTGCTGCCTTCGCATCCCACCCTACCTCATCAACCAACGCAACATATTCCCTGGTATTCTAACTATCGAGCCTCACTGCTAGGCTATGAAACAGCCATTGATTGTCATAAAGTCTACCAACAAAGTAAATGACAAATTGCAGAATGCAAATAATGTGCGGACAGAATTTGGAGGAAAAAAATGGGGAAGGTTTAAGTGTGGACTTAATGTTTACATTGGTGATGAAGCTGCTAGTTGTGCAACCTCAGAGGATTCTCTATTGGGGGGGGGGGAGCAGGAGCAAATAGCAGTAGAGTCCAGCATCCTATTCTCTCAGTGGCTCACCAGGTCCCTTCTCTGGGAAGCCCAAAGCAGGATGTGAGTGCAACAGAACTCTCCCCATCTGTGATTCCCTGCAACTGGTATTCAGGGACACGCTGCCTCTGCGTTAGAGACAGAACATAGCCAGCATTCATGGCTCACTGAGAAAGCAGTAGTCTTGGGGCTCTGGACTAAAAGGCAGTATATAAACAAGCCATGCCATACACCACTTCTAAAATTACCAATGTATATTTTTAATTAGTAGTGTTGGGGCGATCAACATTGTTTTAGTGTGTTCACACTTCTTATTTTGAGGTCCTCCAAGTTTAGCATGGAAGAGGGTAGACCTGCCAGAGTACAGTATCTCCTATTCCCAGTCTTAGAGGGAATGTGAAGTAAAAGGATAAAAGGTTTTTGTCCCTGTGATAAAACACACAGCCATCAGTTTGCTTCCTGTTCCGTGAAAGGCTGCCTCAATGCCACATCAGGCCAGCCCCTTTGAACACAGGACAATAATCAGAGCCCTGCTGGATCAGACCAGTGGCCCATCTAGTCCAGCATCCTGTTTTCACAGTAGCCAACCAGCATTCCATAATTTAACTGTGTGCTGTGTGAAGAAGTCCTTCCTTTTGTCTGTTCTGGATTTTGGTATAAAATCTTCTCTGTCTCTCCCATCTTTCCACCTCTAACCCTCCAGTTTCAAGCTTCAGTTGTCTCTCTTCCCTTTCTTTCAATACTTGGGTACATAACTGGTTTAGACTTCTTGAATGTTATTTATTTCTATTAAAACTGTTTATCGCTTGCCCTTCATCTGTCTGGATATCTGAGCTGTCTACTTTTCTGGCTTCCATTCTCCTGCTTCAACTACCAGTAACACGGCAAGTGCTCTCTCAACGCAGAATCCTGAGACTAGACAGCTACTACGCTTCTGACCTGATGGCTGACAATTTTCTGGTTTCAAATTAAAGAGAAAACGAAATTAGCAAATTAATTGTTTGCTGTATTTTTGCTAGGTGTTGTGTCAGCTGCCTTAAGCTTGGCAGCCAATTGAAAGCTCAACTGGAGCCATCCTGTATAGGAGGTGGAGCTCTGCATTGGGCCTTGCTATCCACAGAGTGTCAATCACATTAATTTTAAATTACTTCTGTACAGCCTGGTGTCAAGATGATTAAAGCATGAAGAGGAAAGCAGAGAGGAAGAGACACTTACCTTGCAATTACAACAAGGACACATCTCCCCCCACCCGCCCTTTCATCAGTCTCCAAACTTGTCGAAACCTTAAAATGTTTGTCCTCTACATGTATACCCAAGATCTAGGAAAATTGAGACTGATTTTTTAAAAAAAGTAAATGTAGCTACATTTATGAGGCATTAACTTCTAATATACATTAAGTAATAGTGAATTATTAAATAATGCTGCAGAATGCATGAGTAATTTTCCTTATAGCATGGATTATCATGGGCTATGTGGTGCCCTCCACATTCAAAGGAAATCCAACAATGCAAGGGTGAGTACAAAGAAAGAAGAGAATCTTTCTTACATCTTATGAGATCTTATCAGCTGATCATTTCTGGATTCATTTTGTCTAGTTAAAAAAGGAAGAAGAGGAAATTGTTAACATGTGAAGAGAGAAGTGACTTAAATATGATTTGTTCTGTTTTCAGACACATGCCTTCCCCCTACCCTGAACCCCTTTCCCCAGATTTAAGGGCGCTTCAAGTATCTGAAAGAGAAACTCCATATTTCCATCCTATTTATGCCTTTACTTGCTCTCAGCAGCTGTACTAAGTCACTGTCATGTCCATGTTTTGAGAGTCCAGGGTAAAAAGGTCTAGTAGCTGGGCTAGAGATGTACAAGATTCATTTTCTATTGCTTACAGAATTGCCGTAACCATTTTAAGAGTATGGAGAGGGACTGCTTGAAAATGAGAAAAGGGTACAGAATTTAAAAATTGCATCCATTATACCATGCTAATAGCAAATTCATTCTCCCTGGATCCTTATGTAGCCAAAACAGCACCATCCATGTATAAAAGGGAGATATTCGCAGGCTTGGGAGAACTTCAAGGTTTGGAAAATTACAAAAAGAAAAAGACCAAACAAAAAACCCCAACTAGAACAATGTGGGCTGAATATGCTCAGTGGGCACAGAATGCCAATTGACTTTCGGGGGTAGGAGAAAACCAGGGAGAATGGCATGGAGAAGCCTGGCAGAAGCAAGGAACGCTGACCACAGGGGAAATTTTGTACTACTAAAGTTGTCTGGTTTTAAGTAGAGAGGGGAGAGGTGATAACTTAGTACCAGAGCATGTGTTTCCTATGTGTAAAAGCTCTGTTTTAACCTCCAACATCTTCAGTTACATTTTCTCAACTCTGGAGGCTGAGAGAGATCCCTCCCTTAAGACCCTGGAGGGCTGCCTCTAGTCAGCGTAAACAATAAGGAGCCAGATGGACTGTTGGACTGACATGATACAAGGCAGATCCTTATTCTTGTGAGGCAATATTATGTCCAGACAAATTGGTACCACTTGTAGATATACTCTAGTAAGATTCAGAACATGCAAGCAATTGACAACCTCTGAAAACACCATACCTACGAATGACTTCTACAATTTTAACATTTACTTAGCACCAAAAGTGTGCTAGGCTCTATTAAACAGGAATCTGTTGAAGCAAATGCATGGAACCTTGCTGGCACTGGTGTTAGCTTAATGCCTCCCTTTGTCAGCATTGGCAGAAATGGAAGAGGGTTGATAATGATCCTATTTTAAGTCAAAAAAGAAAACAATGTGTGTGGTGGGGAGTGTCTTGTACCATGTTTGTCCTTCAGTAACAGAAGTAAGAAGCCCTTGAAAGTGCTTTTAATCCGTGTTTCTCAATGTGGAAGCCATGGACAGTTGCCAGGGAAGTCCAGGATTAAAAGTATAACCCTGTTTCCTTTCCTTTAGGGTTGAGGTTGGATGTATGGCCCTGAGTCTGGGTTGAATTTATACTGTTAGCTGATTTGTCTGTCGTACAGTACATTTGAAGAGGTTTGCATAGCAATAACTGCGAAAATCTTTTCCAGCAAAAGTAAGAGCCTATTGTGACATCTTAAAGGCTAACAAATTTATTATGGTTTAAACTTTAATAGATTACAGCCCACTTTATCAGATGCACAAATCTTGAGTTTTACACACGCACACATATTACACACACATACATAGACTGAAGTTTTGGGGAGGGGATTATAAACAGTGAAGTCAGAGGGAAATTGAATGCAAAAAGTACAGAGATGGTGATAATTATGTAATTAACAGGGGCCATTCACACAAAAAAATAGCTGCTGATAACACAGACATCTTGTCATTGGTAAGCAGAGCTGCCCAAGGCATTTTGCTGCTTGAGGCAGAAAGCAAATACTGCTTCCCCTAGTCAAGGCATATATTTTGGCACCCAAGGCAGAGAATCACACGTGCCTCTTTACCTTCCCAGGCAGTAAAAACAGAACAATCATAAATTTTAAAAACCTAACAATTTGCTGCCCTTTCATAACACACAAAACCAGGTGCCTCTGTCTGCTGAATGGTAGAGCCAACCATGTTGGTGTCGATTAACACATGTAATGTGAAAAACTATTGTTATTACTCAATAAATCTGTTAGTCTAATGTGGCACAAGAGTCCTCCTCGTTGGTGTTTGTTTTTAATACTAGGAGAGGTCCACTCTGACAAAGTTAAGGAAGCTCTTGATTTGATTGTTTGCCACTAAGTGTAGGATATGGCTGGCATCGTTTGCTAAGCGTAGCAGAGCTATTTGCTCTGCAAGCATTTCCTGTGGAATATTCTCTTTGCTTAGGTGGTATGGGAACTGATGGATGGTCCATCTACAACAATTTCTTTTTATTTCTATTTTAAATACCATAATTGTGCTCTGCTACATAATGATAATGGAGTGCCCAGAGAAGGTGCAGACAAGCTTTTCCCACCCCAGCCACACATAGTTTTTTATTGATAAATTAACCAGTGGTTCCTACTCTTACAACAGCACCACCCTCTCCCACCCCAAAAATCCTCTTCCCAAAGCGCGCACACCCTTGCTTCCTCCTTCCCTACTTACACCCTTGATCCTATGACCAGATAAGCCCCTGTTGTGACTACGGAATGTGCGCATAATAGTATTAACATGAATCTGAACTTGAGATAACCCTGCCTGCAATCTAGGAGTTCGTCTGTGTGTTTGGCCTGTTCCACATGCAAATAAAAGTAGCCAAACAAACAAACAAACAAAAAGAAAGAAAGAGAAAAAGAAGGCAGTTTAATTGGAGTAATGCACACGCATATACGTATTTCTCCCTTTTGCTAAGGGAAATTTGCAAGAACTGGCGCCAGGGGGCAGCACAGGGAGAGTTTTTGTTCTCTTCCCTGCAGTTGGGCCGTTTTTCCTCCTGATTGTGCTAAATGCTTATGTACCAATGTTTCCATTTACAAACCCTGCCTCCCCTCCCCCATCCTCCAGCTCTGCTCTGCCATTAACCCTCTGCGATGCTGCTGTAGCAGCAGCTTGCTATGGAGCCTGTTCCCCACCTCCCAGCTGACATGCAGCTTGGTGATGGGATAAATTGAAGGTCTCAGAAAGGAGACTGAGAAAGAGGAGTGTGGGGGGGGGGGGGAGGCACACTAGTAGCAAAAAAGATAAAGGGAGATAAAGCGGGGAGGGGGGGACACACACCGAACCGGGTTTGCCCCTTATTCTAGCCCTTTCTAAATCTGTAGGAGTATGGAGAGGTGGGGATGACTGCTGCTGTGCGCTTTACAGATTTGGGGGGGGGGGTTAATTAACTCTCCATTTGGGATAGTGGCGCAAGCTACAGCAGACTCTGAAACACACACACACACACACCCATGGAAAAGTTAGATTTTCCTTGTTTGGAAGTAAGCAAAAGCCGACCTGCCTTAGATTTTAGTGGTCTGGGCGCCCCCTCGCCTTCAGAGAAGGCGCTCCACTATCTCACGATTCGGGGTTCACCCCTCCCTCACTCGCCCCCGTGTTTTTGAGTTGTGAGAATTACACGCGCCCATGGGGTTGTTGTTTTTAAATTGTGATTGGAAGGAGTGGGCTTTCCTCCGTGGACAACAAAGGTTCCTCGTTTCGCCCCACCCCAATTTCGGGGTTTGGGGTTCCGCTTGGGAGAAGTGCTTCTGCGCCCCTTGACTTTAAAAAAAAGTGTTATTGGGGTCATTCTGCCCTTCCCCCCCTGCTGTGTTCTGTAAACGGATGACAATTTTCCCCCTTATGCAGGGGGTGTCTTTTGTGTTCCTGTTTGGACGACAGATACCAAACGCCTCTGCTCTCTCTCTCTTTAGGTCAAGTGTACATCTGTACCCCCTTTAAAATGTGCGGGGTTTGTGGTCTTTTTTGTTGTTGTTCAGACAGTGAGCGCTGTATGTGGTGCCCCTGTGACGATTACTTTTCAGTTCTGTACTCTTGCGCTGCCCTCTGGGCTTAGGCTCGCTTTTTACCTGACTGACTGACTACCCGCCCATTCCCCTCACAGTGTAGGACGTGCTCCCCGCCCCCCTCCTGGCCGCCCCACCCGCTCCTAAGCGGGAGTTTCCAGGAAGCGCTGAGCAGAGCCGCAGTATCGCTCAGCCGCTCTCTCTCGCTAAAACCCCTCCGCCGAGACTGTGGCAACCACGTCAAGTAGTCCCCCCGGTCTCACAGCCGCGAGCCCTCGCTTTCTCATCCCCTTGCGAGGGTTAGGACGAGCGAAAAACAAGCCCGGCGCGTCCTGGGATTTGAAGGACGCTTCGGCCGGCGTGAAAAACGAAGTTGTGCGTGTAAATATGCTGTGTGTGAGGCGGGGGGAACGAGTCCCGGCCGCGGCGGCGGCATACAGTCGACAAACGACGGAGTGAGAGAGCCGAATATCTCGTTCAGCGAGAGGGGAGGGGAGTGAGCGGGAAAACGCGGTTCGGAGCTGGGAACAGCCTTTCCCTCCCCCACCCCCACTCCCTAGCCGGGGGCGCTTCTCACTGAGTTTCAGAGGCGCCAAGCTCTGCCGAGCCTGGGAGCTTCGAGCCTGTCCTCTTTACACAGAGTAAAGGGGGCGCCTGCTCCCTACCTTTCATTTAGTCCTCCTCGCAAGCCGTGTGTATGTGTCAGTTTCAGCCAGACAACCCCCCACCCCACCCGACGCACACACTGAGGGCGCCCCAGTTTTCAGTCACGGGGCATCCGCCTCAGATTTCTGTTGCCCAACCTAACACGGACGTTTGCGGCGAAATAAATACCTGGGAGGGGAAAAAACACACACACACGTTTTCACCCCTTCCCCAGTTATTGCCGCACTACAAGAGTTTTAAAGTGTGGCTTTTGAAAATGAGGCAACACCCCCCCACACACACATACCCCACAGTGAATCCTGGAATTCACTTCATAAAACACCTCAGCAATATCAAGAGCCCAACTCAGTTAAGAATTGCCCCTTTATGTTTTATAAAGCATTCTCTGACCTACGAAACAACCAACCTATTAAGTACAGAGCTCCCTGGAAGCTGTGCACTTGGGTTTTTATACTGTAAACTACCCTGTGGTCCTCAGATGAAGGGTGATATAGAAATTAAATAAATAACTGCAGACACTGGACTATAAGACCTTCAAAACTGTGATAAGCCAGTCCTGCTCCATTTGTGGGGGGCATCTCCTGCACATTGCCCTAAACTTTGGCTCCAAAGCCCTGCCCTGACAACAGCCCTGAAGCTGTGCCTGCGGTCACAACATTTTTTAGAGAGAGAAAACGTTTCGTTGTAGACACCCTCAGGATTAGGGGAAATATTCCTTCATTTCTGTGGATCTTTCCCTCAAGTGTACAGATATAACTAGAGCAGCAAATTTGTCCTCTGAAATAGTGATGACGTCGCAGAATTGAAAGCAGGACTGGAGTGAAGCAGGGAGATGGGGAGCAAAGTTGGAAAGCAGGAAAGACCCTGCTTGTAGCTGAGATAGGGGTGGGTGGGTTAAGAACAAAGGAATCAGCAGCCTTTGGTGATTAATTTGCAGAAAATATGGACAGGAAGGACATAGGAATCATAGGAAGAAGCTAGTGGTGCTGCTTCCAATTCAGACATTCATTTCTCGCTGTGTTGCATCTGGTTCTGAGCTCTCATTCTGACAAGAGTGAAGGATTTAAGAGGAAATGCTGAAGGGAAAGGGGGATTTGAAAAGTTGGTGGATATTTCAGGAGGAAGTGCTAACTAGAACTTGGGCAGGCAACAAGATTTGTAAAACTTGGGCCAGCTTTCAACAGAGAGCCAGTGACATTGGCTCTGCTGATGGACTCATGGCTGAGGGCTTATCAGGGGTGTCCAAACTTTTTTCAAAGAGTGCCAGATTTGATGAAGTGAAGGGCCGTGGGGGCCGACCAAAGTTGTTGAGCTTTTCTAAGGGTTGGAGTTGTTGAGCTTCTTTTAGGCTTGAAGATGTTGAGGTTTTTTTAGGATTTTACCCCAAAATAGAAACTGCCACAGGGGCCGTATTAAACTGACCCGTGGGCTGAATTAAGCCCCCAAAATGGACTTCGGACAGGCCTGGCTTAGATGGAGGCAAAGGGCTCTTTTAAAAATGTCTCCACAGTACAAACTACAACAGCAGCTTTGGCAGAGCCCTTTCCTTAGGCATCTCGGAGGCTCTCTACCATTTCCCAATATCTTGGCTTGCTCGCAGGAGAGAGTCACCAAGGTAGGAGAGGGCCATGCCAAAGCCTTCTTTGCTGTATATGCTGACAGAGAGTAGGTTAGAAAGCCTTTTGCTTGTGACTCAACTTGGAAGTAGCAGTGAGTGTCCTTGGGATCAGAGGATATGCAGGAGACCAGATGAAAAACTTTTAGGGGATGACTGTGCCCCCCAGGCTTTCCTCTCCTAAAATATATGTCAGTTAACACATGGCTTACAATTTCTAAAAGTATTGTTTTTAAACAGGGCCGCAGAGCGGTTAATGGGGCAACTGACAGAATCGTTCCTAATACACCTCCCATTGATTCTGCAAAAGAGAAGTTCTGAGCTCTACTTCTATGGCATTTTTTCCACCAAAATCAAATCCAGAGAAGTCTTGCTTTGTCAAACAGTAAGTATACAGTTACATAGGTTCCTTCCTTTGTGGAAATCACATTCTGGCAGAACTACAGCATATACCACACTTTTTCGGCCTTTAGTTTAAACCAGCTTATTTTTAAAAAATGGGGTTTTAAATTATCTGTCTTTCCAAAGGAAATAGTTTTCTCATTACCCCTTTCCACTGAGTATGTTATTCCCACCCACATGGAATGATAATCCTGAGTCTCTTTCCCAGATAAAGAAAATTCAGAATCTGGCCGGGCTTCTTGCACATTTTACTTTGCAGTACACTCTGCAAATCCTCACTCTGGATTTCTACCAGAGCTTCGCATCCTCCAATTAAGCTAGCTGGGAGACAGGGGCAAAAACAGTGATCATTCTGTAGACTTGTTTTCTACTGATTCAATTTCTACATCTCAGTTACCCAGTGTACCTATTAACCCTGAGAAAGAGGGCAAAATCCTAAGTATTCTCAAGCTTATTCTTGCTGTTTTTCTTATCCCATTTGTAGCTACAAATGCTTCGCATCCTCCTGTTAGTGCTGCTGAATAGAGCAGAGGACTGATGAGAATTCTCAGGCCTTGCTCTGGTTTCCCCGCCCCCTCCATTACCCCATCCCCCCTCAAGGCTCCCATAACTTGCATCTCTCCTGTTAACACTGAAGAGAGGGGAATACAAGAAGCTCTGATGGTTCCCCCCCAGCTTTTTATATATATATTCTCTCTACCAGTCAAAACCTATATACACAGCCCTGTCTAATTACAAAACCCACAGCCAGCTTTGTTGTCACATCTGACTGACACACACAGCCCAACTACTCAGCTCAACAGAAAACAAAAACAGAACTGCCTGCATTTCACTTCTATTTACAGTGCTACCTTGGGTTCCATACGCTTCAGGTTCCATACGCTTCAGGTTACAGACTCCGCTAACCCAGAAATAGTACCTCGGGTTAAGAACTTTGCTTCAGGATGAGAACAGAAATCGTGCTCCAGCGGCGTGACAGCAGCAGGAGGCCCCATTAGCTAAAGTGGTGCTTCAGGTTAAGAACAGTTCCAGGTTAAGAACGGACCTCCGGAACGAATTAAGTACTTAACCTGAGGTACCACTGTACATTTAATGGGCATTGATAATTCTTTATTTTTCTTATTATTATCATCCTCAAATATTCAGTTACTGCATAGTTCTTCAGGTGCTTGATTAGCGCCCTTTAAAAAAAGTTAAATCTTTGTCATTTTTTCTGGATTGCAAAGTGTCTCTTTAACCCGGAGGTTTTCAACCTTTTTGTGTCCAGGGCTCCCCTGACCAGCTACATCCTTTCTGCCTCCTCTCCTCTCCTCTCCTCTCCTCTCCTCCTCTCCTCTCCTCTCCTCTCTCTTTGGGAGTCCTTTGGGCAGCAGCTGCCACCACCACTGGTCTCTGAGTGGCCCCCATCCTAAAGAGAAGTGCCTCCTTTTACCACCCTACAAGGGCCTGGGAAGAGGCTACCCCCAGCCTTCGTGGTCTGACAGAGACTGGCCAAAGGTGAACCTAACTCAACTTGGGAGGCAGTAGTGGCAACAGCAGTGCCAGGCATTCAGCTCCCAGGCAGGAATTGCAGACGGCAAGCATTTTAATTGCACACTTCTTATTTTTATTCACACACACACACACAGTTACCAATGTGTTTTCCCTATACCCCTTGTTGATCATTGAGGCTACCCACTTACTTGGGAATAAGGTTGCAGAATACTGACCTGGGACTTTGGGAATACATTGCACTGACATACAGTCATACCTTGGGTTACAGACGCTTCAGGTTTTGTTTTTTCGGGTTACGGACCGCCGAAACCCAGAAGTACCGGAACGGGTTACTTCCGGGTTTCGACAGCTGCGTATGCGCAGAAGCGCTGAATTGCAACCCGTGCGTGTGCAGACACGCCGCTGCGGGTTGTGAACGCTGTGGGTTGTGAACGTGCATCCTGCAAGGATCACGTTCGCAACACGAGCGTCCACTGTAATGGGACTTCCTTATAAAGAAACATGTATAGGACTCCTCTGTAAAATGCTTCTGATAACACATTCTCTGAGATGCTCACATCTGTATGGGCAAATTTGTGGTTCAGCTACCTATGTCAGCATAAATGTCCAAAAAGGGCGTGACAAGAGGAGATGTAGCTGGGGTGGAGATGCCCTTACATTGGATTCTTCAGCTGCTTTTGAAAAAATGATGGGGCTTGAAGAAAGACAAGAAATAATTATAGCAATGGCGTGTGGCAAAGTCCCTGTATTTGTTACATTAAAAAAATGACTGGAGAATCTGATGCATGTTCTCTCCAACCATCCCAAAACTCATTGTCAGGAGCGAGCCAGCAGTAAAGCACACCAAGGAGGTGGAAATAACTCTTTATTAGGAAAAAAGGAATCTGCGCAGGAGTGC